TATATGTACGATAGTCCGGAGTTATCGGAAGTGCTTTCGTATTATTCAGTGAGATAAGAAACTTTCTTTTTGCAGAGTATATTCAAAACTATCAAGTCAAGCGCGAAATTTCAAATAAAGTGTGTCACATTTTTCAATAATCCAAGCACAGAATCTCAATAGATACATTACAGTATTACACGATACTTTCTAAATTTTGTATCGTACTGTAAAGAGACAAACAAAATAGATACGGACGCTGTACGAATAGCCGGCAAGCCGGCGATCGGCGATAAATATGTGCAGTCAATAAACGGGCTTGAAAAGCGAAATAAATTAAATTGAACAAAACAATTGGAATAAGCGTAATGTAGTCGAATATATATATCGAAAAGATTAATTTATTTTGCTTGAGGCTACCATTAATGGCAGGATTAATGTCAAATTTTGCGTCTCGTACGCGTGATATCTGTTTGAGTGAATTTTGTTCGATATTTTACTTTTCTGTCAATGCAATTCTATCAAGATACACGGCACTCAATCTCTGAAATATCACTGATTTTATCGCGTGTAAATGATCCTTATTCACGGAGCTGCAATCAAGTTGAAGCGAAACCACGTTTCTTTTACGCAACGGCAACGGGCACCGACACTGAATTCAGCGCTCTGAATTCAAATCATAAAGTTCGTAAGAGACGACCGTCTGTAACTGTCGAGCAAACGCGTGCTCGTGAACCGCGTGCGCAACGGCGCTCAATTTGGAGATTGGTGTCCATTGGAATTGGAAATGAAATTTCGTAGACGTACAAATGGGGACGAGCAGCACAGGGTTGCAACACGTTACGGCGGTAAGGCGCGAGAAATGTACCGTGCGCGCCATCGATTTTGCGGCTACCGATTTATGTTTACGGACCCACCTGCGGTACACAGTAAACGATATTACGTAAGCAAAAAGGAATTATAATTCGTATATCCCATCTCATTGTCATCGTCACCGTGTAAATGTTCATTCGAGATGACGGATAATTTTAGCAGCAACATAAATAACATAAGCGGTGACAACAGATTCAGAATAATTATAGAAAAATATTATTTAATTTTAGACACTACGTATATTTTTAGCATTCTCGTAGAAAATAACTATTTTCCATTACTTTTGTGGAGCATTATACAATAAATTTATCAAGATCTCTTTTTATTAAAAAAAAATATATTTAATGGTTTCTGTATTATTTTAGACATTCTACTTTATGAATTTTGTGAAAAGATCGCGCAAAAGTTTTTCTCTTCTTTCTGGTCTTTCTCTTTCTTGTCGCGGGGGGTTACAGACACAGATGTGGATGCTATGCCGGGAGTGTGCAACATAGACAAAAGTGGAAACTCTCAGGACAACCTTACAGTTAAATGTCTCGGCTCGTCCGCGAATATAACGGAGTTTAATCAGGGTAAAACATGTGGCAAAAAGTCGCCAACTTCCGGTATTTCGCCATGATTTACCTATCTCTTGAGCAATAAAAAGCCTCGCTACCCGGTTCTCGGACTACGTAGCTGGTACATGATGCATAGTGTTAATAACGTTCGTCATCTCTTTCTTACTCACCCTTTATTCCCTCTTCTCATCCTCGCTGCCGTTCGCCAAGCTTCCTCCGCCCCACTTTTTCCTTCGTGCCGTCGCGTTTTCTCCATTCCTTCGGTCCCGTTTCTTTTCGGTTTCCCGTTTCTCCTCTCTCGATTCAGATTGGAGCACACACTGCATTAAAAAAAATACATATATATATATAAATACGCGCTCTAAACTGCTAAAAATCTATATTTAATCAATTTAATCATAAGATCTTTTTATCGCACTAAGATATTCTAAAGTAGGTTCTAAGACCTATATATATTCTTTTAGAATACACGTGTTTCGAAAGCTCTTCAGTCTTTACTGATGTATTTATTCTTTTTATATTGCCGATATTTGGATGAGTTTTTCTCTTCTAAATAATCCTCGACTTAATCTGAAGCGTTACATATATTTGCACAATATCTGAATTATTTCATGAAATGTAATTTAGTCTTTATGCCACTTTTATCTTACATATTTTGATTCTTTAGACCTCTTTTATTTTACATATTTTGCTGAAAAGCTTGAAATCAATATTTAAAAATGCTGTCTTCTCAATCATAATCAAATCATAATTAAATCATAATCAAATTTATCGTCGGCAGTACTCTGTCGTAAAAGGAATATCGATATCTAAAATGTCATTTTAGTTATTAAGTTATTTTCAACATCTATCTGCAAAAAAAATTGATTGTGCGATGAAAACAGATCGATGAAATGAAAATGCAAAGATGTCTATTGGCTTGCTAAACAGGAGATTCATATCGACACGTCCGAACAAATCGATTCCAGAAAATCACAGGCTCGATACAAAATTGATCGCTAACACGCTTTTCTCATTGACCGGATATTTAGAATTTCTCGTATTCCCGAAAGCCAGTCCATAAGGGCAACCGATAAATTAACGACGTATAATATCGCGCATTATGTCGCTATAAAGATAATTGCGGTCGACAATGCGAATGCAAGTATAATGAAATTTACACAAACCGGGGCAAACGGTATTAATGGTACAAATGATATTGTTACATTATCCGATACATGTTTAAGCGGAGCTCGTTCCTCGTTCATGGCAAAATATCACAGTGACGTTATATACGTTATATACGCGCGCGCACAAAGTTATTGAAGGGACCGTGTTATGCGTTTCTAAAGACTACCTGCCATTGCGGACCGTTTAATCCTTCGAAATGAATAGCGTCGCATTTAAAACATTACCCATGAGTAATAAACTAGGTCGCGCGATTCTCATATTCTTGTTTTTGTGCATTTAATTAATCATCTCTGATAATTAATTGTCCACGTGATGACACGTGTGCGGATAATGCATTCGCAATACATGACTCATCTTCCCTAAAAATTCTAAAAACTATAGTATTATGATAATTACATCTGTTACAATTATTACATTTGGCATCTCTTCTCAACATCGAGTTATAAATCGGTCACATTCGTTCGACTCTAAGTTTCCCAAAAAATTCAAGAAATCTCAAGTCCTGTCGTTTGTTTTTTTAAATTTTTTTTTAAGTTATTTTATTCTGCCATTTACAAATTAAAAATATACTACAATTGTGTACACTGTGCAGTTTTAAAATTCGAATTTCGTTTGTTCCTGAAAAATAGCGTTCTAAATAGCAATATTCAGAAGCACGCGGCGAGCGGACATCCGCTCGGGCGATCGAGATTCATTTACACGCACTCGGCGGTCTCGGCGTCGAGTCGTCGAGTGTCGACGACGATCGGCTATATGCGATACGCAGTCGCCTCGCGCAAACGCCTCGCGCGCCGCGCACTCTGCAGATGCAGATTAGAGACCCTCGTCTCTAATGCAGATCATGCAGAGACGCCCAGACGTGTACCTATACACCATACACCCCGGTACGGCGCGGTGCGGCGTGTATGCACGCGAGTCACAAAGGAATAGTCCTGTTGATACGAAGCGATATCTCTGTACCGTCCGGAGACGGAGCAGACGGCGACAACAGACCTAAACAACGGCGGTCCTTATCGCTTTCCCGTATTCCTGTCATTTATCGCTGCCTGCGCTCGTTGCATATTAGAGAACGTTGTCGTCGTCGTCGTCGTCGTCGTCGTCGTCTCCGTCTCCGTCTCCGTCGCCGTCGGCGTCGCCGTCGCGTAAGCACGCTTTGATGCACCGCGCGGAACGGACGAATTGCCATTCGAATTGCTAATAAAAAAGTTATGTATATCGACACATTTCAGCAAGCGACACAAGTCAACACAATTAAGTGTCGACTCATTACCAAAACAGAAAGATATATATAGAACGTTATAGACGTTTGTGTCGTTTTTTGTATCGCTTGCTGGAAAGCTCCCGCGATATCTATTTTAACGTCCCGTTGACGTAATTTTAACCGAGACATTGCAGTGAGTTTAAGATTACGTATTCTATAATCAAAAATAGTGGAAAAGTGAATATAAATACCATACTCCGTGGTCCACTATAATCAACCGTGACCGCGGTGTCCGCGCGCGGTCTCTCTCGCGCCGCCATCTTGATTGATCAAGATTCTCCCTTTCCCTTCAAGCTTCAACTTGGCGGAAATATGCTCGGTCGGCCCGTCGGCGTCGCGGTCTCGGTCCAGATATTCCTACGTCAACACACACACATATGATAATATCTTAATAAGCTGGACTCAAACTCTCGAAACGAACGACCGAGCAAACTGAAAATTTGGAGCAGATTCTTCTACGTATGTGCAAATGGACTTACCGTTAGAGAAGGAGAAGTAACCTAGCTCGACCCGCTACACGAATACGACGAATTATACTTCTACTTGAAATTCGAAAACCGACGCGTTTCTTTCCTCGCGCACCCGCGAGGAAACGACGACGATATTTCGAGATTTCGACGCAATTTCGCGCAGCTCGTACTGCAATTCGTTACAAAATATAACGCGGAAAAATAAGGCGACTGGCGAGTGATAAAACCGCGACACGGAACACGTCACGGAAATGGAACCCGAAAGTGCCGCGGTGCCGCGCGTAAATTTAAAATAGGCGTTAAAGTTACATGGTGGCGCTATCGCTCGTCAACACTCGGTACTGCCTATCAAGTGGCATAAATCGACGAACGGTATAAAAATAGCCGATAATATCGATTTTAATAAATATAGACAAAAACCAGAACCTTACAGAAGTCACGTGGCCGAAATTTGGACGCTTCGACTTAACCTATAGCGATAATTTTATTATTATCCAAATATTTTATACAAAAATATGTATTTACGGCGCAGAAATATTATATGTTTCTGTAAAACTGCATTTTAGCAGTTAATTATTGATCGTTCGTGCGATTCGACTGATAAAAGTCGGGAGCACGGTCTTACATACGGTATGTAAGACCGTGGTCGGGAGAAAGGAGAAAGAACGCTAATGATTTTTCGAAAGTTTACAGTGAGTTCGCACGGTTCGCACATGTTGCACAGTGCACGTGCACACAATGCACACGTATTAATTAGTAAACACGATACGAGATCTGATGTTTGTGTACGAGAGAGATTAGATTTTCCTCAAAGTTTTGCGAATGTAGAATGTAGGCAAGTCGCAATTAAGATAAATTTCGTATGCGTATAATTAAAGCTGTGCAACACGTTCGGATTTAGACAGTCCCCTGGTGAAGGATTTTCTGTCAGGTATTGTCTTTAACAACAAGTCAGAGATATGGCTGGTACCATGAGACAATTGGAGGAACGTTTGCTCCCTGCAGAGGTGACGACGATGCTGTGGTCACCGAAAATGGATCTTTTAGCCATTAGCAATGTCAAAGGTTAGATCTGAAAACTGTCGCTGTAAATACCATCAACACTAATTAAAGTTAATATATTTATCTTCCTCCTTTTTATAATTACTTATAAAAAGGCAGAATTACTTCATTTAACTGTACAGATGTATGTTGAGAATTTTAGATAACTAATCGTTATTCGCAATATGATATCTTACAGGTGAAGTGGTCCTTCATAGGCTTCAGTGGCAGAGAGTATGGTTGTTGAGTCCTCAAGATGAATCCGATACCGCTGCCCATTTGGCGTGGAGACCAGATGGAAAGCTGCTCGCAGTATGCTACGAGATTTCCAAGCTATTGTGTCTCGTTGACGTCGAGACTAAAAATGTTATTCATAAAACCAAATTGCCTGCGAACGACGTGACCGTTTGCGTTAAGTGGTTGTCCCTGTCTAATACCGAACAGGAAAGTTCACTAGCAAATGATAAAACTAATAAACCTACAGGCGAATATCTGCCACTTCTGCCCAGTTTAATCAGAAGTTATAGTACGGAACCTGAGCGGAAAGAATTTTTATCTAACATCCTAGATATGCTCTTTGTAAATATCATAAAGCACAATTCTAATAGACGCATAGCGTTTGTGACTATATGATTAACAGCCATATGTATTTCTTATAGATTGGTCAAAAAGATGGCACAGTATTAATGTACATTTTTGGCATGTTTTATTGTGGCACTATAACTGTGGGCCATGGACCAATCTTGCAGATCACAGGTGGATCTAATAACCCAATATGGATTACATGGAGAGATGATACGTGCGTTAAGACAACTAGGGTATCTTGTCCATTATTTGAGAGAAGCTCAGCGTTTCTTAAGGTATCTCGAGAATGATAATACATGTTACAATTTATAATAAAGATAAAGCGAAAGGCATCCCATTTCCTAAAGTGTGTTGCGCATGATAATTTAGAAATTTGTTAAGTAATTAAGGATTTGTTAAGTTAGTTGGAATTTATATATTTTATTTTCAGGTTGCGCAAACTCAAGCCAACATAGAATGTTTGAAAGATTATCTCTCACGTACCTTAATGGCCACTTGCGAAGCTTGGGAAACGATACTCTTGGAAATGGATGAAAAACTCACGCGATATGCAGGGGCAAATCTACCTGGTACTATGTCTGCAGACTTTTTGGAACTATTGATGATCGGAATACCGACGAAAAATTTAGAAACTTTCCTACTTAGAGATCTCACAGAGAAAGGATTAAAAAAATTCGGACAAAGTATTGAAATGTGTTATAGTAATATACAGGTATTGCAAAATATATTACATTTTTTAAGTTTTAATCATATATAATCACGAATTTTGAATTTGTTAAAGACATTTTTGTAGAAACTGGTCTCGAAAAATTTAACTAGCGTCGGTATGGCCTTGGTTTATCAGTTAGCTGAGTTAAGAGGTATGGTGAGAATAGGTGGCACATATGAAGCGTTAGGATTACGCGACGAAACACTCATAACCAATGCCATTAATGAATCTGAGGCTTTCTTGGCAAAATCATATGAGATTGAGCAAGTTATAGATCAGAGTATGCGCAATTACAAAGCATTTTTCCGGTACGAGTCAAACATTGAATAGATTAATTAACTTGTTGTTGTTTATGTATTGTTGTTTAATTGTTTCAATTTTTATTGCATCTATAGGTGGTTATATGTAGCCATTCTCCAACTAGCTGATGAAAGAGCACCATCGGAAGTGTGCCGTGTAAGTCAGCAGGAATTAACATTTATCGCAGAATTTCTGAGTGATTTTGACAAGCCAAGAGCGAACGGCAGGGTAAATTTAGAAAAATTAGGTCAATATTTACGTCGTGAAAATCTACAAACTCCCCTGACTTCGGAGGGAAGCGAATGGGCTGCTATGCTTGATACAAACGATTGCTTGTGCAATTATGGACATATAGTAAAGCAGAATTTCAATTTATCTTTACTACAATCTCACGTAAAATTAGTCTCTGCTGTAGAACATGTTTTCGCTGAAGCCTATCAGAGCTTAGTTGATCACTTTGTAATGATCTCTATCTCTCTACCATCATTCACATCTCTCATGTTGTCCTCGCAAATTGTAATAAACGATGGAAATCTTTTATTAGCTATGAGCGATACTGACAGCAAATTTTTAAGACTTTTTAACATAAAGTATTCGTCTACTGAATCTGTACCTCTTAGTTCAAAGACGGTTACAATAGACGTGAGTCACAAGCAAGGTTAGTAGCATGTATTTCATACAATTAAAATATACACATTGAAAATTTATTTCTCCATTATATATCTATGATAACATTAATTCACTTTTCTGTCTATCTAGGAGAATCTCCAAATGAAAGAGAGAGTGTCGATACTGTGATAGTAGATCTGCAATTTTACTCGCAAGATTATCTTAGCTTGCTTATATTAAATAAACAAACTCACGCATCGTTTCTCATACAAATGCCATTACACGGTATATCTGTGCTTGAGTATGGAGACAATGATGGTACAGCATCGATAACCGATTTCATCGGTGCGACGTTGCCGAAACCGTTTCAAGGAATATCTGCGAGACGACTAGCGGTCAGTGGTCCTCGGAAAGTAGCTGCTATTTTAAGTGAAAATAATAGAAAGATTCGTTTACTCGAGACTGAAGCGGAACCTGAGGATGAAGACGATGAGGAGGAGGAAGGGCGTTCTGGGGAAAACATGATGGATACCACACCTAGTGTATCTTTTTCTGCAGAAGAAACAAAAACTGATGTTCAAAAGTTTTATAAGGAAGAAAATAGCTGAGGTGGAAGTAAAATATGTTTAAGGTATGAATAATTTGTACATGCAAAAAGATGACTACAAATAATAATTTCTTGTGTAATTGAAAAATCTTGATTTAATTATTTTTCAAATTTTGAATAAATATAGAGTTATTACAAGATATAGTATATTTATTAAGTATATTTCTAAAATACATGTAAAATACGTTAAAATTAACTAAACGTTATTAGTTATACAATAAGAGAGAGAAAGCAAATATAATCTGTTACAAAATATACATTTATATATGTACATATAAGGATAAAGAAAAACACTAAAATGTAATAATGTAATTTCCTGTTATATACAATTACAACTTATGGCATTGCTTGTTCCTTCTGCATTTGGTTAAATACTTTAGGGAAATCGATGTCAAGAACAGCGTTATCCATTCCAACGTTTTCGATGCCTGATGAAACACCAGGTCTATTATCTGGCGTATATCGTTCTGGAGTATTTTCTCTCGACTCCTCCAAATCTGTAAAAATAATCGAAAGATAATCCTATTTTCAATGTAAAAGTGCATCTTCCTTCAATATATCAATTTTTATTAAAAAATTACCAAAGAATCTTTGACTCCTTTTTCTCTTAACAGTAATAATTAGAAGAACAACAGCTACAGCGACAACCAGTACCATAACAGCAGTCATTCCCCGTAACAGATTTGTCTATTCAAATATACATTTTAATAAAATGTAAAATTGTAATTGTTTTTTTTTTCCATGTTATGTGTATTAAATACCTCAAAATCATTTTCCCAAAGTTGCTCCCACTCATTTGAAACTATCAATTCAACAGAATGAACTTTCAATTGAGAATCGTCAAATAGGCCTTTCGAAAAACATTTATAAAATCCAGATTCTGCTGTTGACACACCCTATAAAAATTATAAATATAATTATGAAATATAACATACATCTTGGTACATATTGATTACATAAATAAACTGTTATTTAAAATAGAAAAATTTTTAAATATATGGTACATCTAAAAACTTACTCTGATTTGAAGCGTGCCACTCAATACTTCATAATTATATTTCTTTTCATTTAAAGGATTCCCTGGACCAATAACATTGTTAGTTCCAAATTGCCAGAACATGAAACGATGATGTTCATCAATACTTAAGCATGGAAGCTCAGCCAAGTGTCCAGCTGTCACTTCTTTCACTGTTACTATGTCATTTTCAGATGCAGTTTCGGATTTTTGTAATATAAATGATAAATAAAAAAGTATAAAAAGCCACATTGTCACCTAAAAATTAACGTTGTAAATATTTATACAGAGTATGTCACAGTTGAGTTAGAGATAATTAAAAGATACGGTTTTTTTCTTATGTATTGAATTATGTTTGTGAGAAAAATATAAGAATATACACCAAAAAATGTTAAACTTATACAGAAATATGTTCAATTACTGTGTTCTACCATAACCAATATTGGAAAACTGTTAGGTATTACTCTAGCCTGTCTTCTTCTTTCATAATTACATTCTAATTACATTGATCACCTTTTTCTTCACAGCTACTGCAAAACCAGTTTGTTGTTCACAGATGGTTGTCACAATAATTTATACAGTACACGATACAAAGGAAAAGGCTTTTATGAGTGAATGTTGTGTAATCATAAAAGCAATTCTCTCTTCCTCTCTCTTGTGTGCAATTATTGACTTGCTTCTATTTTTTTCTATTGAGTTGAATTGAATTGAATTCACTGACAATAGCACTAGTATAAAGTATAAATTAGTGATTTTAACTTGGAAAATACACTTTCATTTACTGATGAGAAGATTGCTACAACAAGCACTGCCATGAAGTTATTTATTTTTAACTCTGTCCTATTTGGCCTTGTGCAATACCAAGTATTTATAGTAGACTAGACCTATACCTTGTAATTACTGTATGTTCTTAGATTCCTGTTATAAATGAAAATCTACTCCAGGAAAAACTTAGTCTTACGTTTAAATAAATGAATAAATGACTGAATGAATGAATAAAACAAATGAATAGATATAGAATATTTTTATATTTTCATACGATTAATATATAAATTAATATATATGAAACAGACATAATGCTTTATTATTCAATATAAAAATATAAATGTTGCATGTGTAAATATTTTATAAAAATAACAAGTATATTAATATTAATTATATATTTCATTTGATTATGTGGAGCAACATCCACAAGATAATTTTTTTATCAACACAACAATATACATACATTCCCAGGTTCCCTCAAGTAACTTGAAACAAGCTGAAGCTCATCCATTGTCAATACCTAGATTGGTGTATTAAATGAATAAAGACATCTACAGCTAATACTGGAAGCAGCAGCCAGAATGGTGCCAGTACCGCCTTGGCTGGTAGAGACCAGTGAGGAGCCTCCAGTTTCAGACAAATCAAGATCTGAGCGCACAGTTTCAAAATCACAGCTATCATATACCATGCCTGAAACAATTTTATTGCCATACCATATATTAAAATCTAATTTTATTTAATTAGCTGGATATTTGTTACATCGGTAGGGACTATATTTTTTTAATTATCAAGCTTCTTTATTTATTATTAAAATATTTAATACTTGTAGAAAATGAATACGTGCATAAACACAAATTGGAATAAAATATATTCAATTGCAAGAGGATGAAAAAAAAAATCTACGTATCTTGCCAAGCTATAAAATATAATACTTACTTCTCGCTGCAAACTATTAACACGTCCGTTCTTGCAGTGCGAAATCATGTTAAAAACAATGTAAATAAGTAGAATGTTATCGTAGAGCCACATTGGAATAAAAACTATGAACCAATTCCATTGTATTCTCTGATCGAGTCTCAGGACCAACAGAATCAGGAATATGAGCAAGTTGAACCAGGTGAACAAGGCGCGATGTAAAACCGCCATGGAAGACTTATATCTAATTAATAATACACAATTTCACAGAGCTCACGTGCATTGAGCACTCGCGTGCATCAACTTTTGATTATTCTAACCTTCTATAACGATAAACACCCTACATGCTACGATATATCCTGTTTTATGGACAAGGGACAAGGTATTATCGACAGGTATCATCGGTCGTTACGGTGATCTAAAAAACAGTAAGATAGCGCTACAGATGCAATTTTGTTTATTTTGAATAAACGTATCAAGTATGTGCCAAATAGACTTAATTGTTCATTATACTGGCTGTATTTTATATATTTCTTCTAATATAAAGATATATAATAAAACGCGTATACATTGGCACTTTAGAGGGGAAAAAGAGAACAAACATGAAAAGAATATAACTAAAAAGAGATCTTGGAACGGAAACTTTATATATTATCGACATAAACAGAAAATAATTATGAAGAATTAAACGAAGCATGTTAATTAATAGTATAATATTATATCGTTTATAATTTTGTTTAAACGAATAATATATACTTTAATAATTAAATCTTTATAATAATAAAATATATATATTGATCGATGCAGATGAGGAATTAATTGAATATAATCACTATATCAGTATATACTACTTACATCACATAAATTTCAACGATTAACTGCAGTGACCTATTACGTATTCCTCGTGTCATTGTGATAAATATACGCTCGAACACGCTAATCGCTGATTTACAAATTTCAGTCGAACCTCCTCCTATTTTCTGAAAAAATCGATTTCCTGCATGCCTTTTTTTCTAAATTCTCCTTTTAAAGCAGCTCTTTTTTCTTCCATTCATCTTTTATTGAAACAATTAAAATATTACTTTTAGTAAGTTGAATAAAAATGTTATTTTTTATTCGTTTTAGCTCGGTCTATACATATTATCATAATCATATGGCAAACATTCTAAATGCGCGCTTTTATCAATACGCAAGAGTGCGATGTAAATCGAGAAATGATCAGTTTGCAGGATGACAGATGCAGATTTAGCTAGTATCGCTAATACAGAAAAGAGCTCAGGATATTAATATAATAATATAATTATAATAATAGTAAGTTCGAAACACAATTACAGGACACAGAGCTAGGAGTCTCCTTGAACTGCCGGAGAAAAATATAAACAGTTACATGCCGCTTATATATCGGCGGCCAATAGAATCAACTCGTACGAGGAAACGTCACTGAACGTCAGTCACGTACTATCTCACAGAGACCTTGATTATGATCGTGGATCGTGGCAGTGACTAGAGATTTATTCCTGAACAAAAGAAAAAAAATTAAAGAAACAAGAAATAAGAAAACAAATACAAGAAGGATATAATGAAGGAAAAGAAAATGAAGAAAAAGGAGAAGAAAGTAAAAGGAAGAAAGAGAGAAATAGAAATTTATTCGCATTACACATATTGCCCACACTTTTTTAGCATATTATTATATATTGTTTTAAAATAATTAATATTTAATTATTAAAGTCTATGCGCGCCATAAGGAGGTAAAGTAATGGAAAACGGCGTAGCCTAAATTGTTTCAAAAAAGCATTTCGTCTCTTTTTTGTAAAAATAAGTAGAAAACAAGGTGGGCGGAAGACGTTATAGTTACACCACTGCCGGTGATAAACTGATGGACAATGAGGTAATATGTGCGTATCTCGACATATACTCGCTAGAACGTCTTTCACTCGATCCTTACTCCTTACTCGTCTCACTCGCGAATAAATCTGTTTGATTGTTCATTAATCGAATAATATATAACGTGCGACATTCGAGAATCCGCGGAACGTGGTGTGTGCGCGTGTGTCCTTCGATGAAACTGGATTAGAAAATATGAACTCGATGATCGATTACGTATATCAAGTACGTATACATATGTATATATTTTGTACCGATAGTGATCAAATCGATAGAGTTATATGTCGTCACGTATATGCGAGTCTTAAAAAAACTTAAAGGACTTAACGATAAAATATTTTTCGAAACGTTGCGTCGTCTATTTCCAACGTGTTTCGGCCTACTCATATAATTATCATAGATTATAGGCTGCTTTCGAGGAGCGCGCTATTAGCCACTATTAGCGCTATATTGCATCATTCTGTCTTTATCGCTCATCAGGTGTAAAACAAGGATAGAATAATAAGCAAATAGCGCTAATAGCGCGCTCCCCGAATCCAGCCATTGAATAAGCCAAGCGATAATTTTTTTACAAAACGCGTGCCGCGAGCTGGGCAACCTGTTTGACTTTTCATCGGCGGCCACACTTGACGCGAATTAATCTCCATGGATCGTTATATTGATTAATCGACATTGAATCTCGATGAGGCACTTGGAGATGTTTGCGTGGAGCATATAATTGCGTATTGCGTCTTAAACATTTATGCAATGTATCGCGATTGTCGATTGTTCGCATATGAAGGAAGAAGAAGCTTAATTTATACTTAAAGTAGAATCATGCCAGTTTTTACGTAATCATTAAGATAAGAAAAAATTAATTAAAATTGGTATGCTTATATCGTTATCAGTGCGTTATAACTTGGCGGCGATTAATTTATTAAGCAGCATCTATATATGGTACTTAATTAACTTGAATAAAATTATTAAACTTGATGTATGCAGTGCAGTATGGAAAGAAAAATCGGATTAGGGATGACAAATTTCTATAGTTAAAAATATATATGTAAGCATTTCTGTCGATTTTTTGAATTAATCATCGATTTCAATCGTTTGATCAAATTAAGTTTCTTCAAACAAATCGATCTAATCGAGAGAGTGTGCAATGATAGATCTGTTCGTTTTTTCTGTACTTAAAGATAAATAATAATTGGGACAGACATTTGGAAAAAAAGAAAAGGAGCAATAAAATAAAAATATGAAACACATGCAGAAAATGCGATCGGCTGACGTTCGCGTTTCTCGTATTCCTCAAATCCTCAGTATTTCTCGAATCGCTGATTACGCAAGACTATATAATGATAATTAGATACATCGAGATATGCACACATTGCACACGCGGCTGTCTGAGCGTCTCTCGCACGCAGATTGCAAATATCGGTCGCTGATGTGGGCCGATGACAAAAAGGCACGCGGTTTTCGGCTTAACGTGTTAATAATATTGCCGCGAGTAATGCGACTATAAATACGCGCACCTAATGGTCCTACCCCGAAAACGCGAGAAGCCGAGTCTATTTTAACAGATTAGAGCAAGTTCCGGAATCGGCGGTGCTCCGTCAATCCTTCACAGACGTCGGCGAGTTATCGCCCGACGCCCCGGCTCCCGGCTCACGGCTCTGCGAAAGAGTCGATAGCGCGAACTCGCGCCGAACGCTGAACGCCGCTAAACCGCTTGGCGTCTCCACGTTAAGATCTCCTGAGATCTCCGTCGCGTCACGTTGCCCTTTAACCTCGCTCTCGGTCCACAGTCCACGTGCACAGTTAGCGCCGATATAGCCGATAGCGAATATAGCGATGTCGAACGTACGAACATTGGTAAGGCTCGCTTCGACCGAAACGATCCGATCTCGCGTACGATTATACGAATATTACGGTATCGTTAATGACGTTAATAATGTTACGCGATTGTCGCCAACGATGATTTGTACTTTGCAGTAGGCGTGGTATTCTCTTTTCTTTTTCTTTTTTTTAACGATGACTTGGAAAACTTTCGAATTTTAGAAATATATTTCCCCGTGGTATCTCTTATCAATTTATGTTTATTTTGTATTGATTATTCTGTAAAAATGTGATAACTTTTGTGTGAATATTAATTTTTATATCAGGACGTTTATACTTATATCCCTGAAGCTTGATCTGCAAAAATTCTTGAAATTTGACTAAGAATCTGTGCTTACGTAACATTTTTTTAAATGCTTAAAATAAAATACACATTTGTTACTTTAAAAGACTGGTAGAATTTCAGAAAAATTAAAACCGTATAAGAATATGCATTATATACATTAAAGTAAATTTTTATATTTAGGTGCTTCCAGTTCTGGCTGCGGTAGGAACGATAGTTGTTATAGGAGTAGCATTTAAAATATATAAATCCTGGAGTGAGAGGAAGAAAAAGTCTGCGCCGATACTGCTGGTTGATCCAGTAGTTAAGTATAGTCTACCTCTAATCCAAAAGGACATAATAAGTCACGATACTAGGAAGTTCAGATTTGGATTACCAACGTCAAATCATGTCCTGGGCCTGCCAATTGGTCAGCATATACATTTAACAGCAAAGATTGGAGAGGAGGTTGTAATACGTTCATATACGCCTGTTTCAAGCGACGATGATCAAGGCTACGTTGATCTCGTCATCAAGGTAAATAAAATGGCAATATAGGATTGGCGATAATGAAAGAAAGTATGCTTTAATCGTGCGTGATTTATAGGTATACTTCAAAAATGTGCATCCAAAGTTTCCTGAGGGAGGAAAATTGTCTCAATACTTGGAAAACATGAAAATAGGGGATACCATCGACTTTAGAGGTCCATCTGGTAGACTGATTTACAAAGGACAAGGAAAAGTAACTATAAAACTTCTTAGGAAGGAACCACCCGTGGAATATAACGTTAAAAAGGCACGTACATTTGCTACTATGTATATATGTATTTATTAATTGTGTTATTATTATCGTTATTAAGAACAACTCTATTTTCGACATATGAAAATAATGATGTAACTCTCTGTACAGATGGTTATGCTCGCTGGTGGTACGGGTATCACGCCGATGTTGCAGCTAATTCGTGCGATAATAAAGGATCCTACGGACGAAACTCAAACCTCCTTGCTGTTCGCCAATCAGACAGAAAAAGACATCTTGCTGCGGGACGAACTGGACGAAATCGCCAAAAAATATCCGAATAAATTAAAACTTTGGTACACCCTAGATTCAAGTAGCGAGGGATGGCCATATAGTACAGGATATATAAGTACTGATATCATAGAGAAACACATGTTTCCACCGTCGCCCGATACTATCGTATTGATGTGTGGGCCACCTCCAATGATCAATTTTGCTTGTACTCCGAATCTCGATAAACTTGGCTACGATACTAAATTACGGTTCGCATATTAATCGATGACAGTTTGACGGAGATCTACATGCTTTTAGTACTTCAGTAAAATGTAAGAACAGTTTTTTATTTAATTGAATATATCTGTCTTAATTAATGGAGAATATTAAATAACATGGTGCCGATCAAAGAGATCTATATTGAAAAATTTCTGTCAAAATCTATCTGTAAAAAACATCTCCAGCAGTATTGACGATTACTATATATAAGTTATGAAATTACAATAATCAATGAAATATGCTAATAGCATATGGAGACTATTGTTCCATGTAGTATAAGGATGTCTATCCATAAAAAATTTTACAAGACACGCCAAAAAGTCTTGTCCTCTTTTACTTTTGCTTTTTTTTTATTGGGATACGCTGTGATTGGCGAATGATAAGTAATTCATAGAACTTAAGAAAAATGGGGTTATAAATCAAATGCATGTGAAATGAATATTGCCTCATCACTAAAATATACTTTATTCAGTTCTACATTTGATTATTATAAAAATGACCTGTATATAAAATTTAGGTGAATAAAGTATATTACTAGTGTGTGGAATATTCATATAATAAAGTATTATATTTCAAAGCATTTATTAATGTTGAACCCATTGTAACGTTATAAAAAATTTTCAACACATACAGATGTGCTTCTTATTGTATAATACTTCATTTGTGAGAGATCGAGAAATAAAATATAATTCATATATAAATGACATGTTCAAAAAATGGAGTATATTCTCCTTGCTACAATTAGTACATTAATATTATCAAATGCATTATCGTCGATGAGAGACTAACACAATGAAATATTTAATTATTAATTAAACATGTTAATTTAAGAGGCCGCATATTATGTATGAAAAACTGCAAGTAATTGTGAAATCGAAGCGAAAGTAAATTTCTTTTTTTTTTAATGAATTAACAACGTCCTCTATCTTGTACGCGTTTTCTAGGAGCCGCACGCAAAATATTATCCACTCGAAGTATCATTTCCGCTGCTTCAGCCGCACTCACTAGAACCTGCCTCTTCACCATCCAAGATTCGGTGATTCCTAGCCGCTTCATACAGCCAACTTTGCCCATTTCCATATCTGTAAGATCAAAGAACATTTAATTTCCTGTTACGAAAACTATTTAGCGATCTATTTATACGTATTTAAAAATATTATTACTGGTAACAGAGCGCAAGAACTAGAAACTCACCCAATCCCATAGTGTTGCCGACGGAATTATGCGCAGCTCTTAATTCGCTGACCAATTGCGCAGAGTCGTAGCCAGCATTGTCGGCGATAATGGTCGGCAATTGCTGCAATGCTCGTGCGAAGGCTTCCATCGCAACCGCCTCTTTACCCGGCGTAGCCGCGGCCGCTCGCATAACAGCGCAAGCCATGATCATTTCGCTGCATCCACCACCGTAAACTATTCTCGACTCGCGTACCGTACCGGCTAAAACGCAGAGCGCGTCGTGCAGCGATCTTTCAGCTTCATCGATGATCTGCTGCGTTGCGCCACGAATAACGACAGTGCACGCTTCACCCAACGGAACTCCAGAGAATCTTAGGAGTGTATCTTCTCCTATCATTATCTGAAACAATATAACAATACAATTGAATATAATTAAAGCTATAATGAAACTAATGATTATCACACACACGCATTAGAATAGAATGCATTGCCGTGTATGTGGAACATTCTATATGAATTGCAAAAGTAAATGGTAAATTTACCTGTTCGATAAGATCGCATTTTCCCAACTTGACTAAATCCGGATTGTCGAAAGTACTAACAATTTCGCCACCAGTAACAAGCGCAAGTCTCTCGATACCGTCGAAATCGGCATGTTCGATAGCCATAATTTTCTCATCGGCGAACAATTGTTCTGGATAATTGTATATCAATTGCCTATTGATAAAGACGTTGCATCCATGCTTGACAATTTTGTCAACTTTATCCTGTGGAGATTCAGAAAATTATACATCGATTGTAACTTAACAAATATGCCGTGAGATTCTTTAGACTTTTACTACCTTCATCTTTTCTTTCTCTGCAGTTTCTAATTCTGCTATCTTTGCCATTGAATCTACACGTACTCTGGAACCAAATACCTATAAATAAATGCGCGTAGTGTTAGATTTATCATAGATTTAGTAGATATAATTTTAAAAATTCTTTATACTATAACAGAAGAAACATAAAACCTTGATTTTATCCGTATCCATAGATGTATTAGCGATAAGTATACGCGCGTCAAATACTTTTTGTGGTTGGTTGACACCTGGTTTCTTATCTAATAAGAATCCCTCGTCCAAAAAGGAATCGGCGAGTGTTGCGCCGCGTTTTTTGATAACTTGAATCGCGGACAAATTACCGGAGCCTTTAAGACGCAACACTGCGTCGACCGCGAGCTTGCTGAAGTATTCCTTGTGCTGGGATAAAATCTTAGAACTCAACGTTGTGCGCGCAATATTTAGTAAATCCTCCCGAAAACGATCGGGATCTGCAGAATTGTCCGTGGCTGCATTTTTTAAAGCCTCAGTCGCTACATTTACAGCATTCCTCCAACCACTAATGATAGTTTGTGGATGTATCTTTTGATTTTCGATTAGCTTTTCAGCTTCTCGCAAAAACTCGGCAGCTACAAAAAGACACGAAAGTCATATATTTGAAATTGAATAATTTGAAAAATCAAGCGGATGACGGTATTGTACGTACCGAGAACGGTGACTGAAGTAGTACCATCGCCCACTTCGTCATCTTGGACACGGGACATATCTACCAAAATCTTGGCAGCGGGATTATCAACGCCAATGCTTTTAAGGATAGTAGCACCGTCATTAGTGACATGTACCTGTCCCGAGGACCTGCCCTGAGATACGAGTATCTTATCCATACCCTTAGGACCGAGGGTAGATTTCACCAAGTCCCCAATGGCTATAGCCCCAACAACCGAGCTCAACCTAGCAATCTCCGCCTTCTCTTCTTCCGCCTCATTTTTGAGGATCCGCACTGGATTTAAGGAAACCTTAGAATCAAGTAAGATAAAACGATTCATTTAGTTGCCCATAATACAACTCTTTATTCTGTATTTTTCATTCTGAATGAGATTGTTTTTAAGAAAGTTAACTATTGGTGGGTATGTAAAAAATTGATCTAAAAGTTGATTGAAAAAAAATAAAAACTTGGTTTCTATAGAATGTATTAAAGTTATTTATCGTGCAATTATTTATCCCTTCGTTATTTCAATGACACGTGAGCCATTTGTCATGCTTCCAGAAAACCGGGTTCTGGCCGTTCTGGGGATCGAGAGAATCACAAGCATTTATTACAGCTACAACATGCGAGATTACGGGAGACGAATCGCAACAATTACCATGTCGAGTCAACGCGGCGTACGCAGATACTTCTCTTCAAGAAATGACGCAAAATCCGAAAACGAAAATCTCCGACACACGCTAACGACGAACGTTCACGAGTCAAGGCAGATACCGCCATGCTGCGTGACTTTCAGTGACTTCCGAAGCATTTTCACGAAGCGATTTTCTTTTCCGTCCGTCCATGATTCGCTGCTTTTGGACATCTATATGGTAAGAACGAATTATAAAATCTGATTGAAAAGATGGACGCGCGAATGAACCAATCAAGGACTTGGAATGTAGGTGTGCTTAATGCCAAGGCTTGCTTCAGCGGATCATCATATTCTGAATTTAATTCCTTTTAAGGCTCGATTTGCCGCACAGACGCGATTCTAACGATAATAAAATATTAAATATAATTACATATGAAAATAATACATATAATATAAATTATAAGGAAGAAATGCGGAAAACAAATAGAGAAATTAGATTTGGGGGGAATCATAAAAATATTTTTTGTTTTATAAGTTATTATATATATTATTTATTATCAGTTACAGACAGCATTTTATGTAATGAGAATTTTACATCTTGCGATGATGAAGTGCATTTTTTAAATATCTCTGTAAAATATTATATAACACCCATTATTTCCAGCACCGATGTATCGAATGACCTGTAAATCCAGTAAAAATAATTATAGCTCTTTTATTACTTATAACACGCATATATGTAATGCATACAGATTAATGCACATACTCACTTGGACTTTATCTCATCACCTGGAATGTAAAATGGATTGCAAACAGCGTTGGAATATGCAGCATGTAACTTCTTGAAAATCTATCGACCACGTATCGAAAATTTGCACAATATTAATTATATATCACAATTAACGCGACATATCAAAATTACATATAAAGTATGTAAAGAAGAGAACGTTACCATTTTTATTTCGTTATCCCTTAATGATACATTGGACGATTGTAATACTATGACAAATTTAATCTTTGTATTCGTAGCATAGCCATATCTGGAAAACAGGAATGTTGGTATTTAGATATGCAAATTGGTATCTATCGCGGGGCGACACATTACACATTACGATATATATTACATACATTTTATATTCTTCAGTCGCAAATAACAAGCCTAGGTATAAGTCGCGTATATCAACCGTCGTTTTATTCCCTACGTTCAGCTTTTCCTCTATAATATCAATTGACGTGTGTACTTTGTAATGAAATTGCAACCCAGCAGCTTCGTCCGTGCACTGATATATTTTAATAAATTTTGGAGAGTTCTACAAAATATTTATCAATTAATAGAATAATTCCATGTTCACAGCGTAAGAGACTCGATATTGATGTGCTTCATTATGCAAAAATACAAAAATTGATGGCGAAAAAATTCATGATGAAAAATTTGTGTTAATCAACATGTCATAACCTATATGTAAATCAGAAAACACCGTGTATACTTGCATCTTTGCCAATAACAGCTACGCAAGCGGCCATTTTATGAGATTCTACAAAAACGCAAAAGAAATTTGTTACGATACACTGCACATTCTTTTGCTAAATGTATTTTTATACGAGAATGAGAATAATCGCGAGTACGCAACGCGAGCGTTCCATAACTCGTAATGTCGCTAGGTTAGAACGACACCACTGTGTAGCGTGTCGTGTCGTCCTTTATTTCGAACAATCGCTCGAATAAAGAGAAAAGAGCTCTTTTTATGACATAACTTTACTTGTGGTACAAATCACGAGATACAAATTTTAGCGTAGTACAAAAGATATACACGTTAGCCATACAGTAATTCTAACTTATAACAGTACATTTACAAAACACATAACAGTAATTTATACAGCATTATCGAACATCTGTAGTCTGTACACAGTTATTGATAGACTGTCAACTAAACTCTCTCTCTCTCTCTTTCTAATTATTGATCATAATATCTTCTCTTCAAAGTTCTGTACTTGCGCAACATATACAAAGCTTCCAGCTCTTTTATCACAAAATTACCGTGACTTATCATCTTATTTATCTTTTCGGGATCAGTCTCCGTTTTATTTTTGTCAAAGGCTCTCTTTAGCTTGGTTCTGAAATATTGATATCCCGTTGGATAATCTCGGCCCATGTACAACAGCTGAAAGACAATGCAAAATGAAAATTTAACAAATATGTAATAAAGAAAAATGATAATAAGCTTCTTGAGTTTATCGACATCTTATATGATGAATATGTATGAATACTTGTGTAACACTTTATTACCGTTTTGTACAAATTAATAACTTTAGTGCGTTGTGACATGACACATAGTAAATCTTGGTCTAGATTCCAGCTGCAACTAACTCAGAGCTCGGACTGGCTCGGAGCCTTCAGCCTTGCAAGTCAATTGACAAAATGATAATCATTATCATCTACGATCTGCGATTGTTTCCATTGGAGACAGATAAAAATTGGAAAAGTGTTAACTACACTTGACAGAGATCGGACATTTATTGTTCTTTGTGACTATATTTTTTGTATATGCTATTTATTTTTCCTCTTTTTCTTTCCATTACATTATTATATTATATAATTATAAATTTATCTGTATATCTATATATAGGTTTCATTTTAAATATAGAAAATATAACATAGTGCAGCTGGAAGCAGTTGCAAAGTACATTTCAGTGCGTTTCACAACCTCGTAGTGTATGATTGGGACAAAATATATTCAACATAATATAACATGGCAAACGTCTATTAAAGAAACTGAAATTGTAATACGGGAAATTCTCTCTAATAATATTGATAAACACACCAAGTGTGTGTGGCCATATTATGTGTATATCAAAGAATTGCGGAAGCATTCTACGTTTGAAGTCGTTTGACACGACAGTGATCGACGCTTAAAGCTTATCCACCGAACCAATCAGAAGAAGGATCAGAAGATTCTGTGTGTAGTTGTATTGGCTAATTGGCGACGGCTAACAGCAGACGTAGGGGTGCCAAGGGCCAAGCAGTGCCACTCAACTTCACGTGAACGTTTGTAATATGTTTATGTTACGCATGCACACAAAGGCATTTCTCCGACCTCCGTTCTCCTCGACATTTCCGAACGTAAACAGATAAGAAAGTGAGATTCGTTGTCTAGTCACAGTATAAGTACTGTACAGTGTACTCTAGAGCGTTCGGCTATTATTGTGCTCTCGAGAGTCGAGAGACAAGCCTTTCTGCGTCGCAAGGTACTTAATGAGGTAAATTTCGTACGCGTAATTAAAACTCCGTTTTTATACACACACATCGTTTTATATATATTCTAATATATTCTAATCTTATAACAATTTCGAATTAAGATAAATGTGTTAGAAACATTTGGAAAGAATAAAGCGAATGTTGCAAGCTGCTCCATTTCCTCCGGTATCCGAAAGTTTATTTCTTTTTCACAATGCAATAATTGCATTAATGCATTTCTACTCGTTTTTATCTTTGTGATTTAGTTTTATTTTAGAAACTGATACATAAACTTTTATTTGAATCTCAATTATATCCTTGAACAGTAGTCTTGCCAATTATGACGTTTCTGTTACTTAAAAATAAATAAATGTAGCGATGGAATAATATTCCATTGTTACAACAATAATGATATACCATTTCCTTATTGTTTTCTTTATATATAAAAAAAATTAATAATCTATACACATTAGAGCTCCATTACCATGACTGTCTGTTAATTAATGTAATCTGGCTAGGTCAGCCATGTTATCAGAACGACGATAAATGCTTAAATATATATATTCATCCATTTTTATGTCATTATTTCAGAGGCGCAACAAAAATGTCTAACGTTAGGAATAGTGTACTTCTAATATTCTGTGGTAAGTTATTTAAGTAGCTGTACAATGTGCAATAGTTTTTTCTCTATTTATTATGTATCTGTTTCTTCAAGAGCTCTCTCATATACAAAATTTTTTTTAATTTTGCAGGGATATGTTGCACAGTGGCACTTGCCAAAGAAAGTTTGAAAGCTCCGACATTTAGTAGAACATATACGGCGAAAGGAACATTATATATACCATATGCAGAAATTCGAGAGCCTTTTTATGCATGGTACAATGGCAACAGTGGATCTAGCAGAATTGATTATTATGGAGGTATTTTCAAAAATAATAATCTCCCATTTATTCGTTATCTATTTTTAACTTAGATATATAAAAACTGTTTAGTATAGCGTACACAGTATACAGTATACATGTACACATACAATACAACATATAAATCTGTTTCTTTGTCTAATAGGGATGGTTAAAACCTTTCAATTGGCTCACAAAGGAAAATATGGAGCCAGTATAAAATTAGCGCCTGTTACCACAGAGACTGCTAGTAATGAAGAAACATGTCTTCAAGTAAATGGTACTAATGATTTAAAAATACAACCGCAGTCTATTATTCCAGATGCATCTGAAATGGAGGTAAATTGCACGACTGTAAATTCTATAATGTATATGCAAAATGTGTAAAAAATATGTACAAGTAGCTTTCAATGAAATTTATGTATAGTGTATTGGAGAAGAGATGATCAATGGATTATTGTGTGAGAAATGGCGACTTGTACAAGAAATTGGGGAAAAAACAAATAAATACACTCTCTGGATACGTTACAAGGTAAGAATAAAATTATTTGTGTATATGATAAATAAACCTGCGGTACTTAAAGGAAATAATCTTTGTAGAAATCACCATATCTGCCAAAAGTCAAGGAGCCTATTCCTGTGAGGTATGAAATGAGAGGATTTAATAGTCTCTTAGGTTCACATTATGATCATTATTACCTGGAATATGATTGGTATTCCTTTGACAAACCTTCTGATGATGTCTTTAAAATCATAGAAGGTACGTAAAATTCTAGAATATATATTTTTCCAGTTGCTGTTAACTGATATATAAAGATTTTTTTATTACATTACAATAAAACAATTATTGTATCGAATTTATAATTATGAAGAAAATTATTTGCAGATGCTAAGTGCGTCAGCTTCCCAGGCCCGGGTGAAAATCACATATACACCTTTAACCCAATGCGCGAATTCATTCATAATTATGAGGATCATTTACATCAAGCATTTGACACATTTAAAAAGACTCACAATAAAAATTACAAGGATGACTTGGATCATATGTATCGCAAGGACTTATTTAGACAAAATATAAGGTACATTTATGCCGTAATAAGTATTGTATGTATCATTTCAGAAATAATCGTTTCATGTATATAATTTCCAGATTTATCCATTCTACAAACCGTGCCAATTTGGGTTATCAGTTAAATGTTAATCATTTGGTGGATCGTAGCGATCTCGAATTGAAGGCTTTACGAGGCAAACTATACACTCCAGGTTACAATGGTGGAGCACCATTCCCGCATGATATCGAAAAGGAAATCAAAGATGTTCCCGATAGCATAGATTGGAGGCTTTATGGCGCTGTAACGCCAGTTAAAGGTTTGTAACTTTAATATTATATTTAATATATACGTTATATATATATATATATATATATATATATATATTGATATACTTTATTTAAATAGATCAGTCCGTTTGCGGTTCTTGTTGGAGTTTTGGTAGTACTGGTGCGGTAGAAGGTGCCTATTACATGAAGCATAACAAGTTAGTACGTCTGTCTCAACAGGTAAGCAAGTTATAGAAGTAGCAAAGTTTACGAATTATAATATAATACAATACAGTATAAACACAGAGTATAGTGCTTATACTGCAGATCAATAATATTATGGTATTAATATTGCAGGCTCTCATCGACTGTTCATGGGGATTTGGTAATAATGGATGTGACGGTGGAGAAGATTTTCGTTCATATCAGTGGATAATGAAACATGGTGGTTTACCTACTGAAGAGGATTACGGTGGTTACTTGGGACAGGTAAATTATTTCATTAAATTTATATTAAATAATAAATTTGATCTCTCTCTCTCTCTCTCTTATAATTTGTAACAAGAAAAACAAAAAGACTTTTTGTTTCTTTTGTCAGGATGGGTACTGTCATATAAACAACGTAACATTGACAGCTAAGATCACAGGTTTCGTTAACGTCACTCCACGCAATGTAGAAGCTTTGAAAATCGCCATTGCTAAACATGGTCCTATTTCTGTTGCTATCGATGCCTCCCACAAGACATTCTCTTTTTACTCTCGTGGAGTGTATTACGATCCAGCTTGTGGTAAGATTTGTAAACTTATTATTTTTTTTAATAGTTTTAAAAAACTTATAAATACAAATTTCTCATTCAAACAATTATGTTTTTGTATTATATAGGTAATACCGAGGATAAATTAGATCATGCTGTTTTGGCTGTTGGATATGGCACCATGAATGGAACGGGTTATTGGCTAGTAAAGAATTCTTGGTCGAATTACTGGGGCAACGACGGATATATTTTAATGGCTCAAAAGGATGACAATTGCGGAGTTCTTCTTGCCCCCACATATGTTACTATGTAACTGTAGTTCTATTTCTAAGAATTGGTTGTATCATTTAAGCTCTCTAATACTTCCAATGAGCAAATACACACTCAAATACAATTTAAAAAATGTAGGTTCTGTATAAAATATATTTAGTTGTTTAGCATATTGAGCAAGCTGTAATAAATTGTTGAAGATTTGTATTTAATATAGGAAAATATGATAACGAAAATGAACGAAAATAAAACATTTTGTGACTAAAAAGAGCGTCAATTAAATAACTTTTAGTAATATCAAAAGATGATTATTTAAGAAATAAAATTAAAAAAACTTTATTTTATATCGAATATAAAGTATTATTCATATTTGAAGTATGTTAACAGCAGAGATAAACAGAACTGTTAATGAAATTTAAACAGGTATATATATATGTTTTAAGTAAAACAGAATCTTAGAATATTTATTTATTTTCAGAATAGCCGATATTAAATTAGTACCACATATAATTTAACATAGACTTGATGCATAGATGATTTTCTTCACCAAAGAATAAAGTTACTTTCACTTTCCCATTCTTTTCTTGAGACACGAACAGTCATTACATATTATATTTTCAATTATACTTTTATTAATAGCTTTGTTAACGAATAATACGATATATTCAGAAAATTTTTATAAACTGTTTTTACACATAACGATGTCAACTGTAATTAGTAACTATACTAATTCGTTCCGTCCTTTTTATTATATTACTTAATGCATTTTTTCGTTTGTCAAATAGCCTTATACAATTCCAAAATATGGTAATAACTATATAATATTTTTACAAATATATAAATACTTTTTCTAATGCATTTATGTCCAGTAAGATTGTTATATGGCGTGTGTATAATGTGTAATTGATATGGATACTTTCAAAATATACATAATGTTGCTTACAGCTATATTTGCGAGGTTAAAGGAATGTAAAAATAACAAAAAAAATACACGTAGTATGACAAATACAGGTATAAAGCAGATATAATTAATGGGAATGTAACGAACAATCAGACTGATTCTTTGCAATAAATTTGCGCGTAAAAGTATCACGGTATATTAAGTGAATGATAACTATAAAAATAACTTGTGAAAAATTATGTAAATCCATACAAGCTGTGTAAATAATGTCAATGAAAAAAAATCTGTTCTATTAGAATCTGTTACCACATATACTAGTAAAAATCGCTTGATTCGTTTTTATCAGAAGAAAAAGAATGCAAACGTAGTGCGTTTAAGTACATGAAACGTATATTATTATTAATATATATATATATATCTATATATATACTTTTCACAGATTTCTCAGTTTATATAGTACACGTGACTAAGTCCACAATGCTAGAAAACCGTCCGAAAGAATCTTATTTTACATATAAATCTTTGTTCTCCGAATTTTCTTGCTATCACTAAAATTTTACTTTCATTCTATATCACTTGCGGACGAGATGTCCGACCAAACTCGCGAATCATTTCAGGCGAATCGGCGAGTATAACTATGACGTAGTTGCGAAAGTGTCATTCTTTCTTTTATGTATATTACACACGATAAAAGTTATAGGAATGATAAGAGCTGCTCCAGAAAAAGAATGAGGGAATGTTAAGTGTGTTAAGCGCATGGTTTTATCGCTAGTTTTTCTTGTTAATCGCACAGAAATACGTGTCATGCGATTTTCCATACGACCGAAATATTTCCTGACAGAGACTGATTTTCGTACGTGCTTTTGATTAAAGAAATCCCATTTCTAAGGCAGTATAAAGGGCTTGAGTGTCTGAGTGACTATTTATCCTCCAAAAGGGAAAGTTATGCGCCCGCGCTGCCGTTTCCTCGTCCGAATCGTCTCCTATCACCACGTACGTACATCTACGGCCAAATCGGGCGACCACTCTACCGAAACAGCTCTCCTTTCCTAAAACGAGAATGTAACTTTGCTACGGTTCTGCAAAAATAATGGAAAAATTGCCAAAAAGTTTTAGTAGTTTGTTTAAAAGTGCAAGTTATACTAAATATCAATTTATTTATGCATATATATATTTTGTTTTGTTACTTAAAATAAAAATAAAAACTTTCTAGTTTATTTTTCTGCTGGATTTTATTTGCTGGATAAACTATAAATTTAGCTGTCTTTTATTACCATGTAATTTCCGTTTCATGATGTAATCAAGTGATATAGCTATATAGTTAAACATTTTTTGGGTAATTATTTAATTGTTTCTTTATGTTTGATAATTACCAATTTTAGAGGCCGAGTATATATTCTCTATGGGAAATATTCCGCCGATGCCAAATAGCAGGACTTTAGAGAGTGCGGGCACCAGCTGCGTAGTCGTCACCAGGATATTGATGCAGTGGCTTCTCTTGTTGATAATGTTCAGACACTTCACTGCCGACGTCAACCAGTTATCAGTCAACATTTCAATCTCGGAACGCAACTGCAGCCACTGTTCGCGCTTGGCTGTACCCAGGAGGCCACCTACATTGTTCCGATAGTTGCAATAAATCTCCTTGATTTTACGATAACGGAACGCTAGCTTCCTCATCCAATCGACGCCGCCTCGCACACCGGATGCCAGACATATTCCATTGTTTGCAGACGCGCACTGAAAGCCATCGGTCGCGAAATTGTAGGATGACAGGTCCTGCCCGTTGTCGTCCGACGAAACATCGTCTATGTGCACTTGATCGCAATCCTACGAAAGAAAAAGTAATATTTGTTTTTGCATTTGAAAGTATGAATTATCAGTATGCATAATTGCTACATCATGTACCGTAAAGCACATGAGCCGAATATGATTCGTCTAGGCTTTAAAATTGTTTTTAATGACTGTAACGAATACAAAATTCTAAAATTCATTATGTTCTAGCTAAAATCTCACATTGCACTATACCATACAGGTAGTCTATATGCAGATGTTAGTTTTTAAAGATCACATATGGTCAACTTACGGACGCTGGCAGGAAGCGAACCATATTAAGACTATACCAGACCATTCAGAGATCAAGTGTCTCAAATATTATTTGCAAATTTAAAAATAGTTATGATAAGTAACATTCTGTAATACTAGAGAATATTCTTCTCTAAAAAATAGAATTAAGTATTATATAATCATTAAAATTAAATACTATATAAAATATTAGATATATAGAATATTAGTTAAATAATTACATAAAATACTTAAATCATTTTTTAAATTATATTTTCGAATCTATAAAAGTTATTTAAATATTCTGCTTCAGCGGGAGATCATTCTATATAAAGTTTATACATGGGAACTTGCAAGAAATTTCTATCACCTCTACGTCATTGAAGAAAAAGTGCGTATCCGCCAAAGTGAATATCATCTCCTCCATTCTATACGCCACTTGAGCCAGGAGGTTTGTATCCTTACGGTACTTGGTGGCGTATTGTCCAGTTAGCAGGGAGTGAAATACGACTATGGTTTCGTCGAGGTCCCAGATGAATATACGCTCGGGGCCGGCTTCCGTCGTATCCGCGGAACCGATACTGTTTCCGCTTCCGCTCTGTCTTCTTCCGCGCCTGCATGGCTTCGTCGTTGCCACTGGAAAGTGGACAGTTACAGGTTTTTTTTCTTAATATTTGTTCAGTAATATTCTTCATTATACGTATGTTATGTTCTTTTTTTTAATATTCTTTCAAAAATGATATATTACCTTTGACAATATATTATGTAAGATTATATAATATATTACCTTCGATGTTTGCGGTTTCCCGTGCGGTCAGATCGCTCGCATCGTGTGTCGTTGGGTCCAACGTGAGCGCGGACTTGGTTGAATCTTCTCACGCATACGAAATAATGTTAACGTTGCGATCGTTTTGTAAAGAGCTCTCATTAAACGTGCAAATGATTATTGTTTGAATTATAAAATCTCTTGTATACATCAGTTTATTTTTGGAATAAATTTAGAATATTGAAGTTTCAGAGCGATACATTTTAACATAATTTTCAAAATTAAACTTAAACCAGTTTCCGATTAAACGACTTGAATGCAAAAGTTTCATTTTTGCACCACTGTTTTTCCAACAGTTCGTGCCATGCAACTGTTGCATTTTATTTACAAGGAATTTCATTTATCATTTGCAAGAAATAAAAAAGAGCGCGATCTAACAGTAAAAGATTACCAGCAAAGTTGATGTTTCCGATATTGAACGAAGCTGGCGGCGCATGATAACCGGGCACAGGATAATATCCGGAATACTGGAGTGGTACCCTGTCGTTTCCGTACAAACTACTGCTGTAAGCGCTATAGTCTAATTTCTGCGGAAGAAAAGGAGGGAAGGTCATTCGCAATTTGGGGAAAAATCAAGGATGGAAATCGAACACATCGAGTGCGTTCTCACCTGAGAGGCCGATGATATATTTTGCGCCATATTCGGGAAGGTTGTCGTCCCGCTATTGTAACTGGCGTAGGACGGATACTGCGTCATCGAGCTTGACGATGTATAAGAGCTTAGGTACGAGCTCTGCAAGCTTGATGCGTTTTTCGAAGCTGTCGTTGATCCGTAAGGTGGCGAATTGTACAGGCTATGGAAAAGAAAAAACCGTGATAAATTTTTTTTAAATATAATGGGGATCTGTTTGTTCGAAGCGGATTGACTTTACAAATATAATACGTACGTAGTCTGGCGATTAAACAATGATTTTATTTAAAAAGTCGAATTATCAAGAGTTTTTACAAATATATTTTTCGTATTTTATTTTATTCAAATTACATTTCTCTGGCAAATGAAATATCTTTTCATCACAATTATTTTTTCAAATGAAGTTAATCTCATTACGTTTAATCAGTGGACTGTATTTGGCGAATTAATGTTTAAATACCTGTTGTAATATTGGTTGGGTCCGTACAGGGATCCGTAATCCGTCTTTTCCATCGAGTCCGGATATTCCTGCTCCTTTTCCTCGGCATTCTCGTCGATGTATAGTTCACCACCGGGTACACTGTCATTCTCGGGACAGTCCTGCACCTCGTTCTTAACTTCGGTCTCTTGTATGAAAATGGACAAAACATTTTGTTTATAAATGCAATTTTCCGAAATGTCTATATTTTGCATCTTTGCTTAATGATTTAGAATTCTAGAACGATACTGATTGCTACTCTTTTAATCGTACTTTCGAGAAGCTGATTGGAATGATTAAAATAAACGTGAAAATAGCGAACTGCAAAAAGTGCTTAAGCTATCGTAACGAGATATCGGCTATTAATGAGCAATCATCAATGTTACCTCTAGATATATTATATGTAAAAGCAACGGGATCTAATAATTTAAATTTGATTTTATGTGGCAATATATCTATTCTACGCCAATGCAGTTGCATGTTCTATCTACCATTGTTTGCGGCGCGAGGATGCTGTACCGAGGCTTCTGTTGAGGAAGACACGTTGCCAGCATTGTCTAAAACCCCTGCTGGTTTTGTCGGATCATTGTCTTCGGTTAACATATCACTCTACTGTAATGACATAAATCACCGATTTGTATCTTTATGTCGAGAGCGTGAGAACAAATAACGAAACCATCACAAAAGAATATTGTAACTTAAAAATGATCGATGTCTCTTTGTTGGAAACATGTGAGATAATCAAAGAGAGAAAGAGCGAGAGAGAGAGAAAAAGGGGAGAAAGAGAATTCGTAGATAAAATCGTAAAACACAAAATGTTATAATATATTAATAAAAAGTATAATAATATACAATTATTCTTATATTTCAGCAATCTGTAAATGTAATTTAATGGTGCATGCGGAGACGCGAATGCCATAAATTTACTCCTCGATAAGCAGTTAAATCCGTATGCCAACGCATTAACGACCGTGTATTGAACGATTGTGCATTAACGCACGCTCGTCACTTTGCAGGTGAAGGAAGATCGCGCACCTGTGAGGTCACGAGACTGCTCGTTCGCGTGAGAACTCGATTATTGTCTGCCAATTGCGTGTCGAAGAGGTGGAGTGACTGGCTGGGTAGGCGTACACCACGAGGCACCGAAACCAGCCAATGGAACGATCCTCGATGCTTTGCGTTATGTATTCTTTATGTTGCCAAGTCACTATCTATATCTGTACTCCGCCCCCGTGCGCGTACATATGTCTCGTACATAATTCGCGCAAAAAGCAGAAGATACCTTTAAGACGTCCTCGAGATAAGTGACCACGCTCGTATACGCAAGTCTCAATTTTTCTTTTTTTTTTTTTCAAATATTGTATTATAAAAGTACAACTTTGATTTTACAGCCGATTTGAGTACCTTGATAACGAAGCATTTAAGCGCAATCGCTTTTGAACGAATAATCTCGTCGAAAGGCACGAATTAATTTGTCGTGGCATTTGTTAGAAGAGCGTAGATAAATATTGATTTGGGGCTTATTGCCAGCTCTTTACTCTCTCTTCATCGCCTTCCGCTTTGAAAAACTTTCTTTTTATCGTTGGCAAATGATTTCTATGTACAGGTTTATGTATACATAAGTGCGTGCGGATCATGCAGATATTGGAGTAAGTAGTACCGTAAGGGAAATCTTAAGAAATAAGACTTTTGCCGAATACGACGTTGTACAGCCACCCTATATATCGTTGCAGCTCATCTCGCCGCGCCGAGTCGCATATAATGCACAGTGAAGCGAGAGATGAAAGGCACTCCGCTTATCTAAACAAAAGCCTGTGCCGAAGTGTTTATCGCGGGCGAGTTGCTTAGCTTGCTGTCTGCCTACTCTGACTGGCTGTCTGTCTGTCAACCGTCAAGGAAAACGAAATGCAGCGAAACAAGAGGAATGCCGCTGCTTATCCGCGCAAGTTTCTCCTCTAGTCCACCTAATGGCTCGGTTTACGTCGTCGACCGTAGGAGAGCGAGAGAGAAAGAGAGAAGGTAAGGGAGAGAGAGGGAGAGGGAGACAGAAGGAAAAGTAAAGCCTAAGGATGGCTACACAAGAGAAGTTTATCGAGACAAAAGCTTTTTGTCCGAACCTATCTGGCCACATTACGTGAAGAATACAAAAGTTTCTTAGACGTCCTTTGAAAATGTTATTTTTTTGATCGGTATATAATAGCTCTCCTCATAATAGCTAGATTTATTATTGTTTGAACAAATTTATTCACTGCAAGAGCATTAACTTGAAAGTTTTTTCGTGTAACTTTGTTATCCTATTTTTAATAAATGTTATTCTTCTGACTGGACTTTCTTCATAATAGCTGGACTAGCCTCATAATGGCACTATTACTCCTCCAAGTAGAATACGTTAATTATTATTCGTCATAACATCGAAGATTTTTTTCGGTTAAAATTTTGTCGATCTGATGAATAAAATAACTTGAATTTTATTTCAGAATATCAGCGTTGAATGATTATCAAAATATTATTATATTCGGTGCATAGTACCGGTAATGAAAACAAGGTGTTAAATCGCGAGTCTAATAATTTTTCAAATATTCAACAAATTCAAATATGCATTAATAAAACTTTAGCTCTAAAATATACAAATTAGTTTTTACTAATTATAGAGAGAAAACCTGTGTTTACGTTTCATATGTACATATTTTTCAATTAAATTTATTTTTTTTTCAGATAATTTTTTAGAATAAGCTTTAACTACTTTATCTTAATATCTGAATAAAATTTCTCAAAATCATGTTTTTTTCATTTCTAACTTTGCGGTCTTTCACTGTGAAGGGCGTCACTCACGAAAAAGTAAATATTAAAACTTTATCACTTCTATATTATAGAACTTATTGGTTGCAGTTTTGTGAACTGTTACGAAAATAGTTGGATAAAACTGTCGTTAAGCAGCGCGACAGGCTTTTTGGAGAGAACGTATTGTCTGATACTACGCAATGGCCAATTAAAATACATTACTGCCGTAACGAGCCGAATGAGATGCATAAGTTACGCATGCTCACGTGATAATGACATTTTACGCGTGTATGCGAACATCCGCGAACAGCCGTTCACGGCTCTCTCTCTCTCTCTCTCTCCCTCTTTTTCTCGTTTATTTAACAATTTTAGAAAAAAAAAATGTGCACGTATGGAATGTTTAGAACGTTTATGCGTTTTTATTTTAGGACAGATTATTTTAATTCCTGATATAACTAACATGAAAAGGATAATTATCTTTTTCTCATATATTGCATACACAAGAATGTTGAATTGAAAAAAAATCACTTGAAGAGTGTTCTCTTCCGGAATTAAATTATAATTAGTAAAATATTAATGGAACCGATTTAGAAAGAGAAAGAGAGATAGGACATTATTAAGTTCTAAAATAATAAATTATAGTTTTGAAGATACAAACGTGTTACGCAAAATTAATATAATATAATTTTTATTTCGGTAATATATTCAAATATACAAAATATGCCACGTGCGATACGAAAGACACGTCAAGAATTTATTTGAATAAATTAACTTTTCAACGATTTTTTACGTTCATCGACAGAATATAAACATAAATTATGTACTCCAACCTACATACCTCTTTTCTATATTTTTAACTCGCATTTTTTTCCAAATTTATATTCTATCCCTCTATATATTTATATTTGCTGCACTAGACTATTAACTTGTAGGAAGATCTACTGTCACGCGACACGCGACACGCGACACGATCTGGGCATAACGACAAATCCTGATTCGGCATACGTACATGTATCAAACGTGCTGCGAGAACAAGAAACATTCCACATTAGCATATAGCCATAGGGGATAGGAAAAAGAGCAGTTGTCGCGATAAATCTAACGAAACAACATCGATCAGAGCCTTACGTTCCGTCGCTGCTGGCTCCGGAGTCCAGACTCGAGACAGAGTGCTCCGACAAATATTCAAGGATGTCGTCGGTGATTTCCTCCTGACAACAGCATCGTTACATCCCGGGGAGCCGGGGGTGCGTAACGCGTGCGGGCGGGCGGACGCGCGTGTCTCCTACGTGCGGTCCGTGCGGATGCGCGTAAATACGTCGAGTCGTATAGGAATCCACGGACCACGCATTCACTTTCCTCGCATCTTCCAGGACCACGGGAACATCGTGCTGCGCGTTCAACCACCACCCTCTGCGTTACGCGTGCGTTACCTTTCGCGCACCGCCCGGCACCCAACACACATACATATAGAGAATAGAGATCACGTCTCCGTCTCGATGCGGCGATGCACGTCTTCGAAACGATCGGATCCACCGATCCACGTCGTTCCAATCAGTTTCAGTCACCGGGGCCGGGGAGAGCCTCGTCCGCGGTCCGAGTGGCGGACGTTCCGCAGGATCACCGCTCGCCGCTCACCGCTTCGCCCGTTCGCGTTCGCGCGGGGGATGCGGTGCAAAGCCCCCAAGTCCTGGCCGTGCACCCGACGCACCCGATGCACCGCCACCTGCACACGATCACTTGCCGCGACCCGCGACCGCGACTGCCAACAGTGCCAACTGCCAACGAGACTCGCGCGTTTAATTTTCCCGGCACGCCGCGGCTTTTTTTCTCCTACTGGGAAAAACGCTTCCCCAGTCCCCAACTCCCCAATCTCCGGCGCGGCGCGGCGGAGAGATCGCTGATCGCTCACGTTAGACTCACTACCATCGTTTCCCCGGCGCCCCGGCGCGTCACGTCGCGTGTCGACTGTCGCGTCTCGCGTAGCGACCTAGCGTAGAGATGTATTGGCGGGTCCTCAACTCCTCGAGTCTCGAGTCCTCGCCGTGTGTGCGTGTGTGCGCGTGTGCGAGAGAGCGCGATACGTCCACTGTCCAGATACGACAGGTCGCGTCGTGTCGTGGCCTGTTGTGGAGTGTGGAGTTCTGAGCATGCGAAATGTCGCCTGCCACCCCCGCCCGGTGGTCACGTGGTCACCCGCTCGGCTCCTCTTCCTCTTCCTCTTCTCGCCTCACCTTTCTCTCTTTCATTCTTGCCCTCTTGCCCTCTTCGTCTCGTCCAGTCGCCTCTCTTTGTTCCGCGCTCTCCTCTCCTCTCCTCTCGTCCTTTAACCTCCGCTTTTCTCCCTGCCCTGCCTCTTCTGTCTTTATCGCTCTCTTTCCCTGTTTTCCTCCTTTTCTTCCAAACCATTATTGCGTATTGCTACTTGCTACGCGAATTACGCGCATACCGAAATGATCATTCCTCCAAAATGAGAAATTATACATTCCTTCTCTCACTTCTCTGCCTCTTATCACACGCGTTCATCATATCTTTCTTGCTCTTTTACTTTCTCTCTTCCTTGCATTTTATTATTTATTTCTACGTTTGCGCGCAATGATACTGCTCAATAACGCATATCTCTATTTAGGATCGCATAACGTGCAGCTTCTCCCTCGCGCGCATTCCTTTTTCCTTCTTTGTCTCGCTCTCACCGGCAATCGGCATGGCTGGCATGGCGGGCGGCGGGCGGCGGGTGGCGGGCGCACACTGAGCACAGAGCACACAGGTCGCTCGTTAATTAGAGCGAGAGGATATAACGAATCGCGCGCGTGGTGGGTGATGGCGCGAGAGATAAGGAGGGAGAATCAAACGCGATGACGACGCGCGAGAAGGACAGAGACAGAAATGACGAAAGAGAGAGAGAGAAGTTGCGAATTAACGCGCGAGAGAAAGAGAATCTACCCCTTTACATTCGAATACGTGTCACCTCTTGTCACCGTTCATTTGTACAAATCGTTCGGCACGGACGCTCCTCCCTGGCGGGACAAGTTTTTCAGAGAAGACAGCACGTAAAAGGATCTATGGCCGATCTTGATAAGAGTTGTAGAATGCGTGTTTTTTAGTTTTAGGATCCCACGAACGACGCGGTGTAAAAAGAGCATCGCTCGGTTTTGTGCTTTAATCTCGTTTACACTTTTGTTCCGCTTGATATCAAACTATTTACTATTGATATATAGATTTATAGATATAGATCCAATTTTGTTTCCAAACAATTCACGTAGTATCGAATAAAAAAGCGAGAATAATAATTGTCCGATATTTTAGTCCTTCTCAAAATAATTTTTCAATTAATCTTTCATTTTTGCATCTGTGTGAGAGAAAGAGAGAGAGAGAGGAGGGAAGGGGTCTTGACGGTCTTTCTTGGCTTTTAATTTTCTTTTTATGCGGAGACAGAGAATTCTTGACGGGAGGTCCACGCCACTATCCGGCACGCCGGCACTACGTCATACTACGGTGGGTTCCTGGAAGGCGAGAATGTCCCTGCGTCCTTTTTTCTCGCTTTATCGATTACGGCGCGATAAAGGCGCCCGCGCCGCGAGATGTCTGCTTCTCCTCTGTCACTGCGTGACAAAACAACGTAGGGCCTTCGCCATGAGTGAAATTATGGAGGGCGAGGGATGGCCGTTCGCGAGATATTATTACAGCGAGGTGTACAGCGGCCCTCTGCCTTTAAACCTTTAAAATTTAAGAACCCGCGCGTCTCGCACACGGATTAACTGGATTAAGGAACTGACAGAAATTTATCTTTAATCTTCAATTAAAAATTATTAAATTATTTGAAATCCCTTTTTTCCATTAGAAATATTGCACTTGCATTTCTTATAAGAACTTTTCTCAATATATTTACCATTTATATGTATTATAAAATTAATGTAACTTATTAATTCTGTCAGAAAAATTAAAACAAGTAGGAGAAAGTTTGAGAGAGAATTTTTTAAACCGACACTTTCGTCGAAAAATTAGAACGTTGTATAACTTTGTACAATGTATTTTTAAATAATTTATTTGTCAGGATGCTATATCTTTTGGGGGATAAACTTCATGCTGTGGACTTTTAAACTTGAAACCTCTTTGCGGCTAATGTAACTGTAACGGCGAGGGTGAGTCTGCATTTTTCAAGAACGATGACGAAAATGAGGAACAACATGGACGGCAATATAATTTCCTACATCCTGTACCAACATCCATTGTGCGTTTTCCACCAGCTTGATGGACTCTCAAATTTCGTTAAAAGTCTCGCTAACGTTACCATAAAAGCATCTCGAGAAACCTTCCCGTTTCGTTTAAGCGCTGCGCTCACGAACGCTTTTTTCGCACGTGTTTCCGCAGTATTATATCGTTTACAAATGACACCTATAATATCTATTTAATTGTTATTGCTAGAATATGCCTAAATATCCATACATTTATCTTGCGCGTTTAACAATTCTTTCTTATTAACTATCGTACGTTCCGGAAACATTATCCCCTGCTAACAACCAACAACAGACGTACGTTTGTGAAATAATAGCGAATATTCGAGCTACACGATGATTGACATCAGAGCTTATTGTGACGAATAACAAAGGAGAAAATGCTTTACATAATGTTTGGTAAACGCGAGGATAGGATAAATACGGCTAATCCACTCTCCAGTTTTTGTATTTTCACGGAACGTCGAACACGGGAATCTCTTTGTGTTTATACGAATCCGGCCATCTCATTTATCTCTTTATTGAAAACTGTAGATTTGCTGCACGTTGTGTTGTTCGCGTATTCATGTTTGTTTTACGTAAGAGTTTTACATATGTATATACGTGACATTCTTCAAACAGGATAATATAAATGTTGTTAAGTCAACTTAGAAAATTATGTTCAATTTCTACGCGTAATGTTTTACATTTGATTACAAAGGATAAACGTTTGACCAAAATTAATTTAAAAGACGTAACGTAAAATATTCTTCGCGTATCCGATGCTATTTATAATGCCCTCCTTTAAACATGTCAATTACGTATCTTTCCTAAATTTCAACAGTTTGAAGAAAGCTGCGTGCACATGCTGAACACGAAACTGTTATGAGTCTACCGTCTTCCACTATCAGTTTCTCATACGAATCAAATTTTCAGCAGCCTCTCGAAGGAGGTGGCGATTCTCGTATCGCCGTGTTTCTCAGGACAAATGCGATATGCCGCCTTCGTGAAAGAAATATCGATTCTAACGTGCAACGGATGTTATTGCGTTTCTCAGGAGTGACTCGTTGCAGAGACGACGGATAATAAAGAGATGAGACGAGCTGGAGGTAGACATGGCGTCATCAACTGCATGGCCGGTGAAGAAATGGCGGAATGATATTATAGTTGGCGCGATACCTTTAGATAATGATATAATGGAATAAGAGCTTCGCAAATCGCAAGAGAAAGAGCGAGAAAAGGGAAGAAAGGGAGATAGAGAAAGAATACGCGGTTCAGTCTTTCGAGATATGCGGGTGGCTTGTAGTCGTCTTCAATGTATTAATGGTGCACGTATGTACATAACGACCACCCAGAGGTATATGTGTACGAACACTTTAGGAAAAGTGCCGGTACATAGAGATGTATACGATGTCGAGGTTCAAGAGACGGCGGGCCCGTGGGTTATTGTCAACAGCACGTACGTCGGTAACGTTATTATATTTTTACTTACAGGATGTGTGATCTCGACTTTTTCAGGACCGCTATTTAAGTGAATGTTTTTACTTATTTTAATAATCTTTTTTTCTCGTCAATTTCAGCTATTTTCATTTGTTACATTCTTCTGGAAGAGTTCAGGATTGAAAATTGGGAATTAAAGATTTTTATTTCAATCCTTTCTCTACAAGCGATAGTTGGACAAATTAACTTGATGGTTCATGCAATCGATATATTTCAGATGGTACTAAAATGAGGGGAAGGAGGTTCTGCTTTTGTAGTCAAGATTAATTTCGATGTTTTGATAAATTATTGTTAAGTATTTTATTTTTGTTATGGTTTCAATATTATGAAAGATGTAACGATCAATGATTGATAACTGGAGCATTTTATAAGTGTTCCTAGAATATTGTTCATCGATCATTCATTGGTTCGAGTGTTCGGAGACCTTTGCGAGGATCATCATGAATCATCGTGTCAAGTTTACATCAGCATAGGATCGCAAAGAGTTAATGGATATAAGTATTGACACATTCGTCGACGAAGATCTGAAGAAGATTGACGAGATGCTATATGTTGATGTAAATATAATCTCGATAGGTTTTAGAGGCCAACACGCGCTTCTTTTGCCATGAGTACACGACGCGCGTATACTTGAACTACATATCCTGCGAAAATGGATGCACACGTGCGGAGATCCTGCGAGTAAGTTTTGGACCAAAGCTAAGTAAGCGAGATATATCTTTCTCCCCGTTTCGTCGTGCGCGTATGTGGAAGACAGATGTACATATGTGATGAAGATGTTGGTGTGAGTTAGGTTCGTGCGTCTCTCCCTTTGTTATACAGGGTGTTCTATCTTTCCGACTCAGTGTTCAGGTACCGAGAACCAAAGTATACTCTGTGACCACATTAATAACCGATCAAAAAAACCATGAAACGTACAAGTTAAAAAAGTTTTCCATAGGACAATCAGAAGTCATTGATTTTCTTGTTAAGCAGGATTTAGTGAGAGAAACGTGGAAATGAGATGAAATGCTCCAATTCCACATGTTTATTGATACTTTTGGAAATACTTTTGGGATATTAAATATTAAGCGACTTGCGAATTTAAATAATTAATTCGTTTTATGTTCGTCACTCAGTTTTCATACGCCTTCTCTTTCGCCGAAGATATTCTCTGTGTGTGAATGTGTGTGTGTATGTATGCATGCACGCAGGCGCAGGCAGCTGTCACCTTACACCCATGGAGGAGACATGGGGCTGCGGCGGCCATTCTCAACTTATCTCTAGGATCTTTGTAAACATGTCGTGAAATCCGAGTATTTAGGCAGTGGCGTAGATCGCGGGGTGGAAAGGATCTATCGGACGATCACGGCGAGGAATTAAAATCAAACGATCGTCAATAGTTCCAATGTAATTTCGGCGAATACAAAATTTCGAATGCTTTTGGCTGCGCGAAAATTGCCTCCACCCTTGTATATGTGGCAACAGGGAATTCTCACGATTCTGAAAATTGTCAATTTTTTTCTTTTTACATTTTCTATGCTTTTTTGCAGCACAGAATTGTGTGTTTATCGATATATTATGCCCGGATTATATTATATGGTTCGATGACCGATTGAGATCCTTGCCGGACCGGATGTGACATGCTGCGTGCTCGTGGTTTCCCTGACAACCCAGGACCGCGGCGGCAACGTCAGTAAATAGAACACATCTTTGTTCCGTGCTAATAAAAAAGGAAAAAAAAAGACGTCCGGGTTATAGGTCACATCGAGACCTATTATTCTATGTCTTGATTTATTACTTGCATTTAGGATTGCGCCTAATGATGTTGATCGTTCGAAAATTATGGGCCGTTGGAAAATTTTATGTTAATATTATTTTACCAACTTTAAGATTGCTGATCACTCAAAAATAAGGTATGAAAAATATTTCCCGTAAACATTATCACGGAATTAAAAATGCTTAGCTTTTCGTAGTGTACATATATCGGGTAGATAAAAATATATTTGTTAATATATTTATTTAATTTTACGTAGATTTAAACGCTTAAATGGAAGTTAACGTTTATTTATAACGTATATGTTGGAAAGTGAGAAAATGTAAAAAAAGATAGCATCGACGATAGCCGTGACGAAATCTTTGCTAAGCAAAAATTTAAATTATTTCAAGTCGGCGAAATTCACAAGGGTAAACTACATACATACGATTGTTTTCTTTTCAGCACCCCGTATATATATTCGAGGGTTTCCCTCGGCGAATTGGTATTCCGATCGATCAAGTTTTAATACATCGGCAAATATCGGCCGCCGACGTCTCTTTAGCTGGCTCTTTATTTTATCTTACTCTAGATACTTCATTCGCGTTTAAGTATTTTAGTTGATTCCTCGTAGAGAGATAATAATAGATGAATTAAAATTAGATGAAAAGAGAATATTTATTACGTTAAAATTGAATACTTAATTTTTGAAGTCGAGAATGTTTTTAGAGAGAGAGTCTACTATAGAGATGAATTTTAATCATTTATATATACTACATAGCATTCGCTCTTTAATTTATTGTCATTTCTTATCAATGAACAATAATATGGTATAAATTTCTATATATATACGCGTTCCATGATAAGCGAGTGATTAATGAATGTAGCATATAGTTATTTTCCATTTACATTAAGTTTAATAGCGTCACATTAATGCGCATATTAACGAATTGTAATAAGAATACGTGTAGTTACTGTTACGTGACATTTCGAGGCTATTGTAGAGATTCTGAGCGTCAAGACTCGCCAGACAAGAACCGCAGCAACGTGAAACATAATACAAGTTGCACCAGCCAGTCCTAAGCTCAGCCATGCGAAGCAGGCAGCCAGCGGCTAAGGAACGCGACGTACGAATCAGATTACATCTCGCGTTGGCTGCTTATCTTTATTCTTCACCTTACATCGCCTCGATTCACCTCATTTCGCTTCAGTGACCAACCCTTCGATCAGCTTATAATAACGCCCGGACGCCAGACGTACCACGATCAACAGAGATATTTTCGAGAAAGAATTTCCAAATATATAATAACTTTCTACGGGATGTTTGAAAAGATCAAAGCATTCGGCATGAGAGATGAAAGATACATACTTACATCGTGAAATAAATGAGAACCTTTTAGCAGATAAAAATTTATTAAAACTTGGTTTGATAACTAGCGTGTCGGTTTCCAGCAAATAATAAAAAAGCCGATACAGTATTACAATGAAGATATATTTATTACATTGTGTAGATAAATTCATCAATCTCGTAGGTGCTAATACTAATACATAGACAAAGAAATGCGAACAGAAAAGAGACAATTATTCTAGACATTAATTAATTGCTTGGTACGTTCAATACAAGACAATCATTTTTTTCTCTTTATTTCAAATTGCTTATTAAGGAAAAAATGTTTATGTCTAAATGTTGGCAATTAATTTATCGAATAATTTCAGTTATAAAACGATAATCTGGTTTATCTTTCTTTTTCATTATATTGTGTTGTATATAAATACATATAGCTAAAGTGTTAAAGTTAATTAATATTATTCAGTATCAGCATTAGAGGCTTGTAAGAAAACTGGACCTCCTTGAGAACCTTGTGCAACTTGTATTAATTGTGGTTGAGTCTGAATCGGAGCGGTTTGGATTATAATTGGTTGATTGCTTCCACCTTGCACTTGCATGCGAATCATCTGCAATTGCTGGGGAGTCAACTGAATCTAAAAAGAAAAAAAAAAGAAAAATATCGAAGATAACGTGCAATTAGACAAATAAGATCATTTTATTAAAAAAAAATTTATATTTACAGGTATTTGTTGAATTTCGCCGCTAGGAGTGACGATCTGTTGTACGATCTGTATTCCTCCGGCTTGGGTTGTGGATGTTTGTTGCGGTTGTTGCAGTTGAATGATTTGTTGATTGGATGATTGCTGTGGACTTTGAACCGTAACTGTTTGGGCTGTAGTGGTGTTGGTACTCTCCTAAAATTAATGAAATCATAAAGATAATCATAAAGATTACGTATGCGCACATATTTCTGTTGAACCAAAAATAAAACAAATAATATACCTGTTCTACCGGACTGCCGATATTGATGGTCTGGATTTGCCCGCCAGAAGGTTGAACAATTTGTATGGGTTGCGTAGTAGTGCCACTACTCTGCACACCTTGATTCGCCGAAGCTTGTTGCTGCGCCAATTGGAAGTAATAATGAACTTGATCCGAATTCATAGACGTACGTACAGTGGCCTCGTTCTGCGCCTTACTTTGTTTTATTTCGTCTCTAGGTACTATATCTATGAGAAAGTCAAACTGATCATATTTTGTAACTGCCATTGCAATGTCATTTCGTTGAAGAGTTCGTCTCTTATTATCTTCTGTGTGCACCCAAGCTCTGAGAGTCAGTTCGTGTATAAAGATCTCTGCCGCTTTGGCAAAAAGCATCGGCGCCTCTGCACTTATCATTTTTACGTCTCCATCTAGTTTCATGATCTTTTTTATCCTTGCCAATGGTAAAGCTTGCGTTTTAAGATCCATCTGTGTAATAAGAATATTTATTTAAATATTGAAAAAATACACTTTATTGGATTATACTATAGTCTTACTAACAGTTGTGATGTTTTTTATTTCTTCCATGACTTTTGGCCAGAAATGAGCCAATGCCTGTTGAGCCTCAGAATTGCCTGGTGAGGCGATTTGTAAATCACCATTTGAGTCGCCCTCTACTTCGCTGTCTTGATTTCTAAACATGTAGAAAATATCTTTTTATAACTTTATATATTTTATATATTTAGTTTTACTTGTTGCAAAAACGAAAGTTTTTTTATTATGTTTCGTATTGATTTATTACTAACATCTGTTGGATTTATAAAAATTTTGGCTAGGTATCAATTTAATACAAATATGAAAATTTCAATTTCATATTATATACATGTCTAATGTTAATACTATAATAATTAATTAATTAACTATGAAATTCTACAATAAAAAAATTTAAAAAGTATAATCCAAAATACATCAAATCTCTTCTAAAGCTAAAAAGTCAATAAAGGTTTTGTTGAATAAGAACACTCAACTCTTAACACAGACTTCTATAAAAATAATTTTAGACATTTTAGTACGCATGAAAGATGCTTGTAATAAAATATGCCATCTCTTTATTCCTGTTCTGCAATATCTCAGATGTTATAGGTATATCTTTTTTATTGCAGTGAGTGTACTAAAATGAAATATAAAACAGAAAAATATACTGCGTTAAATTTAAAGAAGAATTATTCCACAGATGCACGTATTATCCTGTTTTACGTGCACATATTTTACAGTGTACCGAATGCAATAATATATAACCTAAAAATCATAGAAATTCGTTTACTTACGCATTTACGAAAAACACAGACATTCTCGTAGTGGCTTATTGATTGCATAAAAGTCGGAGATCTCTTTTAAATTGCGGAAACTATTTTATTATCGCAGACTAAGCAACCATGGTTTTTAAAATTATATTTTCAGTGAAAATAAACATTTTGAGTCTCAGAGGCAAGAGGCAACGATCACGATTGGTTGTGCTTCTGTTATACCCTGCTGCATTCTCTCGATGTTACAGAGAACGTAACTACCAATCCAAATATTCTGCATTGCCGACAGATGCTACACGACAATAAAAACGTATCATATATGAGATTCGAGAGGAAAAGTTCAAATAAAACATATTTTCATTTTCATTAAATTTTAATCGATTAGAATATCTATATAAAATGCGAGCTATAAATTACATTTTTCTATACAAAAATTTCAATCATGCATTGCCTTATAACTACAGATTTTTTGAAAAACAGAATTTAATACTTCTTTAGCGGTGTGTGTGTCGGAATTGTTTATCCTTATTATACTTCCAAATTCCCTGATATAATGATCTAATTCTTTGTCATTTGATAGCTCCTTTGTTGCCATATATTTGTTAGTAAGCTGTGATAATTTTAGTAAATCAGAACTGAAAGCTTCATCTAGATCAAACAGCTCCAAAGCAGGAGGAGGTAATTCTTGGAAGCTCGGAGGAAATACCTGTAGAATTATTTCAAGTTTGTATAACATAAATTAGAATAAATTCGCGAAACGGACATAGAGAATTAGATATTATACGTTATACTCACCGAAGCTTGTGTGGGAGGTAAAGGTGCTTCAAAATGAGGTGGAATTAAAGTAAGTGGTTCATGTTTTACTCCTAAAGCCTCATACGCTTTTATGCAAGCCGGTATCATGTTTAAATTTGTAGAATAAAAATGATGTTTAAATAACTTGGTGTATTCGCGAGGTATGTCAATATTATCTAAGTCTTGCGTGCAAACTTTTGGATTGTCAGCTTGTTGCGTTATGTCTGGTACAAAGTTGTACTCCCAAAACTGCAAACGTAAAAATACAATTTGTCAATTGTCTTTTGTAGAGATTTGGTAAGAAATCGTAATCTTTGTAGTATAATTTATATGTTTAGTAAAAAGTGTACCATGATCTGTGTCTATGTGTGACAAACAACTTACTTCTATATCATCCGTATGAAGATCCGTTGTTTCTGTGACATTTAACTCAAAAAAGTCAAAAATCATTTCCCGCAATGCATCATTCCTCTCCTTTTCTATATAAGTATCTGTCAACATTCTAGATGAACCTAATACAACCAGCTTGCCATTACTGTGTTTTATACAATGATATGCGCAGATTGGCCTATTCATTGGAATAGCAATTGATCCACTGGATAAAGCAACGACAGACGGTTGCACTACGTTTAATGTTGCGCCGTAAGGATACAAAAATTTCATACCGCTAAAATAATCATTTATTAATAATTGGAATTAGCACAAGTTGAATTTGATATTATAAGATTGTCTTACATGTATTCATCATGATTCTTTAGAAATATGGACTTATTTGACAAGCCTTGGGAGATTAGAGATTCTTTAGGATGCATCGTTTGACTGTAACTCATACGGGCTACACTGTCTGCAATTATAAAAATTAAAATGTAGGTTTTCATATATATATTTAGAAAGAATTTCTAATAGAGAGAAGAAGAAGAGAGCACAATCATCTTTTCTCTGAACATTTTACGTACCATTATTTACCATGATGCCAAATTCTTCCAACAAAAAGTTGATGTTTGTATTGGACTTATTTTCACCACCTTCACCAAGCGTGACAAGAACATTGCCACCAGAATTTAAAAAAGTTCTAATGGAGTTCATTTCGAGCTCAGTAAATTTACTTAGCGGTCCTGGCAACATTAGGATCTTGGCGTTTGCCAATGATTCTTGCGATATCACTTCATTATTCCTAAAATATATTCGCTGAGCATAAGTTTTCCAATTTAATGTTTGTTTAGTAAATTTTAACTTACTCGATAAACTTCCACTTTGCTTTCAATTTTCGTTGAAGTACTTTGAAGTCTTCATTTAATTTTCTTTCATTTTTTGATATGTCAAAGATAACAATGTTTTCATTATCACCATCGTCACCGCCAAAAGTTGCGCTCATTCTTGGATTATTGTTATTGTGTAAATCGGTTCGAAAGATTACTCGTAGTGTACACTGTACAGCAATCCGACATCACGATGTTTCATTTGATAATTGTCGAAATGTGCACGTCAAAACATTTCATCGCGTCATCGCTATGACAACCACGAGTATAAGCATCGGACACATACCCTGCTCAACTTACAACTATGACCACAAGATATAAATTATCGATAATTATTTACCATTCGCACATGCTTCCCTCAAGCAACATAATGTAATACCATAATTAAATATTATTGTTATTCGCTTTGTAATATTTCATGATATAAATTATAAATAGGACTTTTTTTGACAATGCTGATATTCTTGCGATGTAAATAAAACATTTACATACATTAATTTTTAAAACCCCTGATAATAATTTATTTCTGACTTTAATATTTCATTACGTGCATTACATATGCTATTTTATACATTTTATTTTTGTCACAAGATAATAATCGATAATGTTACTGCTCTTTAATTATCCCGGTTGATAATTATGAAACCTAACTTGGTAACCGAGCATTCTGAGATTTCTGAGCACACGTGTCGTTGGTCGGAGTTTCAACGTCCATTGTGATACGGGCTGCATGCTGCATATGTCCTCGGTACTGATTGGCCAAGTAAATTGAACCACATGTAGCGGATATTCCTGGCCAGCCTGGCATGGCTGGCATTGGTGCCATTGGTGGACATAATCGTAAATATCGTGGTGAAAACGCTATTGAAAAATTGGTCGAAGGTCGGAGCTCGGAGCTCGGAGCCGTTTCTAGCCATCGGAGGGGTTTCTAATCAATTTGTAATTTGTTTCTCTCGAATCGATAACGCGAAGGGAGGTAGAGAAGTAGGGAGCTGTCGTTGGCAATCACATATTTTCCAGAAAGTATGTCGCAGTTTCGACGTTCTTTGTAAAGAATTGCGGTCGCGAAAACTCCACGAAGCTGATAAGATGAGCAGCAGCAAGGTATAAAAATTCGGATTTTTATTATCTCAGCATAATGTATTTTGGGAGTAATACAACGTTGTCGTTTCATTACGTTTGAGATCGTATTTGTGCAAATGTTGAAAATCTCGGAAAGAGTTAACTCGAAAGAGATATGAGATTTATAAATTGTTTTCTCTCTTTGGGGTTAAATATACAGAAATGAGAAAAATGTTTGGTCGATTTTTATTGTTTTACATATATTTTGGTGGGGATACTTTATTTTGATTTTGCTTTTATATTATATATATATATGTATGTATGTATTTTTTTCTTTATTAGATCTCACGTTATCCCTCGGATGGCAAGGTCTATGTAGGAGATTTAGGAAGCAGTGCTAGTAAGCAACAATTGGAAGATGCATTTTCCTACTATGGACCCTTACATAATGTTTGGGTTGCCAGAAACCCTCCTGGATTTGCCTTTGTCGAATTTGAAGATCCTAGAGATGCAGAAGACGCCGTGAGAGGACTGGACGGTCGTATTCTATGTGGACGACGCGTTCGTGTCGAATTGTCAAACGGAAAGAAATTAAGAGACAGAGGCTTCTCTAGAAGAGGTGTTGGGAGACCGTTTCATCCAGAAGATAAATGTTACGAATGTGGCGAAAGGGGTCATTATGCTCGAGATTGCCACCGTCATAGAAGTTCTCGTAGAAGAAGGTAAGTCTTGGAAATTTTTTCTTTTTTAATGAAATCAATCATTATTTTATACTTATTAAGTACCTATCAAATTTATATATATTTATATATATGTATATAATTTTTATGTATTTAAAAGATTATACATTGAATTATATTGTGTGCAAAGTTTCTGACTTATTCTTGCATACATTGTGGAGAGTTATCTTGCAAAATGGAAAAGGATTGTAACATAGTTATAGAAAAATATAGAGAAGTAATACTTTATATCTCTTGTTATATGTGAACTCTGATGAGAGTTCACATTTATGATTACAAAGATTCTACTTTGTGTGAATCAGCCATATTTGAATTTAGCCCTTCACGCAGGCATTCTTTATTTGATATTTAATAATTAGGAAACAAATATTAAATATGTACAGTAAGATAATCTCTAATGAATTACATGAGATTTATTTGATCAAATGACTGTCACAATATCATTGTGCCACGTTCACTTTGCAGTTATGAAAAAGATTGTATAGGTTCGATTATTTAAATAATGGCGATTATAAGCTACTTAGACATAATTGGTAATGATTGAAAGAAAGCAAAGATATTTCTACAAACATAAAGAAATACTGTAAAGCGGCCAACGTAATATTGCCCGTTATTTATAGGAGTTGCGGCTGAGCATACAGCACACGCATGTGAAATGTGTGTTGCTACCCGACATAGTCGCGCGAGATTCGCCTTGGGTTCACGTTTGTGATACACACCGCGCGTCGTAGTTACAGCGTAGAGCACTCCACATCTACTTTGGGTTTCCCTCTGCACACTCTGCGAGCGAGAAAACGCGGCAAAAACATGGGCCGTGGCCGACTGGACACGGGGTGGCTAGTTCTGCGCACTGCTACGATACCGATCCGCTGACCACTGACCATCACCCTAAATCGAGAGTTTATGCACGTCTGGCACTTCTGGCGTTCTTCGTTCAGCTATCTGTGATTTCCGCCTAGTCGTCGTTCTCGTCGTAGTCATCGTTGTCGTCGTCGTCTTCATCATCGTAGTCATCGTCATCGTCATCGTCGTCGTTGCCGTCGCCGTCGCCGTCGCCGTCGCCGTCGTTGTCGTCATCGTCGTAATACTTAACAATTGTTGAGAGACAAACTTTCAGCGATCCCGTCTCTAGCCACTCTTCATCCGTTCATCTCGGACCCTCTCGTACGTTCGTCTGTATAAAGGGCTCATCCGCTCTCCCTTCTCGGCAATCGGCATAGCCATCGCGCGCACGCAATCCACAATTGTCTGCTGTAAGCACAGCCAGGAAAGATGGTATATAAGTAGAACAGTCAAGTATATATTCAACGAGGATTACGGTATATACTTGCTGAGCTATACTTTGAACATGAACGAATCCACGTTACATTATTACGTGTAAGCACACTTGCATGACTTGTAAAGGTAGTTGCATTTATTTATGGAAATAATTTGTTAGTCTTGTCAAATAGGACGTGCTCAAAGATATTAAATAGTGCCTTTTAATGAATACGTGGAGTTTGAAAATTAACCAACGGTATTATTTATACATCAGAGTACGGATAACTGATCTGTTATACTAACGTGCATTTCGGAGAGGGAGGGAGAGAACTCACACGCGGTATCTAAATATTATATTTTTAATGTGTGTTTATAAAAGATGATAAACTTGTTATATACCTAATAAGTATGTAAATTAAATGTTCGACAGAGGATCAGGTTTTATTATTATTGGTGGTAACAGATCGTTGTCAGTAATTTTGGGGATAATACGTGCTATATAGAAATCGATAGAAATCGAATAAAAAAATATCCAGTTTTAAAGATCATGTTTCACATTTATGTTCTGTAGTAATGGATAGGCAAAATAGGCAAAAATATATACGTGGCTATTATTTTGACATTTATTTATTACAACTTTTACTTTAGGTGGTCCCGCTCGCGATCAAAGTCCAAATCAAGATCAAAATCGCGATCACGATCGCGATCGCGCTCACGTTCCCGCTCAAGATCTCGCAGCAATCGCTCGCGCTCGCGTTCATCACGGCGCAGCCCATCCCGCAGCAAGAGCGTTTGCGTCAAGGATAAGTATCGCAAGAAACGGAAGTCTGCTTCCAAAGATCGAAGCAAGTCGAAATCTCGATCGGGCTCCAGATCGCGAAGCAGATAAATGGTAAATATATAGTGAACATCGCTTATGCTGTTATTATCATTGAATGAATGTAATACATTGTGAGTTTCTGTTTTAGTGGATACGGATTTAACTGACGTTTATCGGATTTCTTTGACTTAATTAAAAAGCTACAACTACAATCCCTTCAACAGTTCAACCACGTGCAGATTATTTAGCATATCTATTATTTAGCATATATAAGACTCACCTGTTTTTGTAATATGGATAGCATAACAACTTCGTATAAACGAAGTATTATTTCATATGAAGGAGGAAACATATATATTGTTATTTTGCCGAATACGGTTTCTTACAGTTCTGTGTCATGTTCATCGCTCGCATTTAAGTTTATTGTAGGCTGATGTTCAATAAAATGGTAGCTTTTTAGATGTGCGCGCATTTGTATTGTTCATCTCGTTGAAATCTCAACTTCCCATACCAAACAAGTATGCGTGTAGTATAAACAGCGTAAAAGTCCCAAGGTTTCGTATATATCATCTGTGTATCTGTTCGTGATCACGCGGCGTCGCCGAGTTTTCTTTTCTCTTGAAATTTTTTTGCATCATCAGTACTCGACGACAATAAGGCAGCGAGTTAATAGGCGTAGCAAATGGTGTGATCCGATTTGCAAACATTTTCAAGCTCACGTTCAAGCTGTGTCTTGGAAAAGCTGGAAAAGCTACATTAACGAATAACTGGCAAAGTAAGATTGAAATGATTTAATTTTTTAATGGCTTGAAATGTTTGATCTATAACCTTTTTATTTCTAGATTTATATTAAGTTTATATTGCTGAATATTAACTTTGCGCGTGGAGAGGTGAGAGAGAGAGAGAGAGAGAGAGAGAGAGGGAAGGGGGGGGAGAAAAAAATATATATACATAGTGCATATACAAAGTACATATACACTATTCAAAAATGATAATGATAGAAAGAGATATGACACAAATCAAAGTGAATGACTTGGACCTTATTCATTTGCGAGTAAGGAGTTTCACTAATTTAAAAAAAATTAACTATTATTTTACATGGTCACACAAGAATACAAATAAGTTTGATGATCGTTCATCATCATTGCAATCGTTTTACAAATTTCAATGATTCGGCACCCATGGCTCGTCTGAGGAGGATTAAGGATGAGCACACAGACCGGCGAAGTGGGGTAGGCAACGAATGAAAGCAAAATGCGATACAACGCGAAACACAGAATGGCAGTGCGGAGAAGTAGGGGGAGCTGAAGAAGAAGAGGAAGAAAAAAAAGGGGAGAAGCCGGTGTACGCAGCCGGTAGACGGGTAGAGGATGGTAGAGGCAGACGCACGTTTTTAGTGAAGCATCGTAAAACGCCGCTGATTCTTGCTCGCTTCGATTTCGATTCTGCTCGATCGTTTCATACGCCAAGTTTGATCTCCCGTTGAGCTTCTTTTTGTTGTAGAGCGCGCGGGTTTTATTGTACATATAACATATAACATTGCCGGCGTGGTCCGCGTGGTCCGACCACTCCGATCGAGTGGCGAAAGCGAAATTTCTCAGGCAGTACACAGACCAATTATACGCGTTCGCCGTATTGTTCCGCGTCGAGCCAATTGCGTGAACAAATAATCGGGGCCAATTAAGCGTGCGGGTGCGATGACTTCCGCATATGAAACGACGACAGAACGCGAGCAGCAGGAGACAACGAGTCCGCCCGATACTTTCGATCCTGCGAAAGTACGCTACAAGTGCTACAACAGCGAGGAACTGGACAATTCAGACACTGCCGCTGATATGGAGGAAACCTCGTCGTTATCACAAGCCAGTCTCGCAACAGGTGACTCGTCTTTCGAAGAATCCACGCTTTCTTCCGTGGAAGTCAGCCTGGTTCTGCCTGGTTCTGAATCAGTCGACGGGGATTCGGGAATGTTCGAGAAAGAGAAGGAAGATAAGGACGAAGGAAACGTTAGTGTTTCTGCAAATTCGGTAAATGAGATTTCGCGAATGAGCAGATCCAAAAACGAGGACGTGTCCTTCGAAGACAAGTTAGATAACGAGAGGCATAAGGAAAAGAGGGAATCGATTTCATTGGCGGATAATACCGCGCCGGAAAGCGCATCCACATCCACATCCACGTGCACCGCGAGAAGGGAGCAGGTCGAGGATCTTGACAAGGATCAGAAGAATCGGAGCGTGCGTCTGGAGATCCGGATGCAGGAACGACGCGCGTGCGACAGTAGGGTTCACGTAGGGGAGAAATTTCGAGATTCTGTCGACGCGCAGATTCTGGGAGACGTCGTGCGAGCTTGTTGCGAGAACGTGGCGGAAATTTGCCTGGATACGGACGATCAGAAACAAGATGATTTTGAAAGGGAAATTATCGGCCAGCACACACAGGACGGCGAATCGTTTTATGATGCCGTACGATCGGGAAACGCCAAGCGCGTTTCAGCGTTGATCGCCAACGGTTGCGTGCAAAACCTGGACCTGGACGAACCGGATTGGAACGTGTCGGGCGATCCACCCCTATTGATGGCAGCAACAAATCATTGCCTGCCTGTGTTGAGGTAGATTTTTTAGAATCGTAGACTCCAATCACTCTCAAGTCCTCACGTGATGTCGATGTCAATCGGGTAGTTCAGTTTAAGACCACATTCCTTTGCATATAACTATCTCCTGCTTCCAGTCCTTGCCGCAACGTACATCAATTTAGAGCTTTCTGAGTCAGTCGTGAATCATCGTAGCGTTATCTCTTGAATATTTAACTGTTTCTTTTTTTTTATTATAAACTCAATGATCTTTATATATTATTTGCAATAGAGAAATCTAAATTCATCGGTAAACTCGGTAAAATTTTTAAGAATAATTATACAGACTTACAGATTACTTTACAGGTTTATTTATTAATAAAACAAATTTAGCGAAAAGAAGTTTCGTAATGTTAAACAACACATTTAGTTTGAAGCGCGCGATATCATGTACATACTTGAAATATTCTTCGACAGCTCCGTGAAACTCTGCATAGCTATAAAAATTCTCTTTGATGAATTATCGTAAAAGCTAAAAATAACTTGTGTTTGCGGCACAGTGCTATTTTATTTTCGTGATGCGTCGTATCGTGTTAATATTAGTAATCCTAAAAATTTGTATCTTTTTATTTTTGCTATATAATAATTGCAAAGGCATACGTCGTACAAACTTTTTATATCTTTTTATTGCCGGATTACAGCGCGCTACTGGCGAACGGGTGCGATCCAGCTGTGCGTTCGCCGCGGGGTGAAACGGCACTTCACAGAGTAATCCTGAACGGCGGACCGGGCAACGTGTTGAAATTCGTGGAGGACCTCTTGAAATACAACTGTCCGCCAGGCGTCAAAGAAGCCGGCAGTGGATCGACTGCGTTGCACGTGCTCTCTCGCCAACTGGCTCACACGTCGCTAAAATCCCTTCGTAATAATTTCGATGCGGCCTTGAAGACGTTGGACGTGCTGGCGAGAGCAGGACCCGTTAATGCTAAGGATCACCAAGGCCGAAGTGCCTTACACATTTTAGCATCGTCAACTATTTTCGGTACGACCATAATGATCGTCTGCACACAGAATTCTCCTTTGTGATCCCTCATTAAGGACAGTTGCAAGTCGATTTTCCTTTGACGAAAATGTCGAGGCATTATTACTTACCTTTTAATTAACTTTCAAACATTACATGTATCTTTTCGTAATTGTGCAGTTTAAATTTAAATTCTGTCAAGTGAAATTTACTCGAAACTAATTTATTATTTATTTACTTATTTGAAATTTTTTTAGTTTTCAAAAGACTCAACTTCCACGTACTAAAAACTCAAAAATTACGCACTTGATATTTTTGTAAATGAAAAAGTTCAAGATTATGCCATTTTACATTCAGTAACCACATCTTTAATCTTGTGTACATTTTTTTTTTTTCAATTTTTTCGAAACAAATGAAACGAAACACTTTTTTCTGTACAAGTACCGACGCACGTGACTTTTTCGAAAACAAGTGATTTATTCTCGCTCATTTTCCTCCGATCGTCAAACAAAGAATGTGCAAAAGCTTTAATGGCACGTTATCTTGCAGATAACAATCACAAGACCGACATCGAGTCGCTGATTGGTACGCTTCTGGCCGCCGGCGCGGATACCGCGCTGAAGAACGATCGCGGAGAGACCGCTTTGCACGAGAGTCTGGAGTGCGGTGCGTTAAATACGGCGACATTGTTGATACAACACACGCCGACAGGTATCACGTCGCGGTACGGCGAAACTCCATTGCATATAGCGTCGCGGAAAAATCATGTCGATATGGTGATGAAGCTACTCGAACACGGCGAGGATCCGGGGATGCAGGACGCCGGCGGAAACACTCCGTTGCACCTCGCATCAGCAAGAGGATTTCATCAGACGGTATCGTTGTTGGTTACCTCGCCTTTAGCTCAATTGGAGAAAGTCAACATTGACGATCTGACGGCATTGCAAGTCGCCGCCGAGAGCGGATTTGCCAACGCCGTCAGGATACTATTGAAGGCTGGCGCTGATCCCAGTCAGACCACACGTTATTGCGCGACCATCCAGCGCCGTCATCCCGACATCTCGCTCCTGATTGACCACGAATTGACCAGACGTCGACAACTCGCCGCCTGATTCATTGGTTTCCTACTGACATTCGGCAGCAGTGTTGCTTAAGATCGTTAAATGTTTCTATAAACAAAGTGCAATTATCATCCTTGTTGTTGCTCAATAAATATCTCGTATAATAGAAGTGTGTGCAGAATTTATATGTGCAAGCACAATATAAAATTGCCGTAAATCCCGGCTGTGGATCAAAGTGCACTTAATTCAAATTTAAAGATTGCACGCGTATGATCTACGATTTAGAATATACATAACTACAATATATTTTAAAAGTAAACGTTAATACCGTTATCGTGTCGTTATCTTTTTGTTTTCACTATTGTTGTTATCGCGCGTAATCTTGCCATCATTATTATATTTACATCATTAATGTAATTAATATTAATGTAAGTAAAAAATTAAATTTTAGTTAGGTTTATTTGTTATCGACAATATCGACACAAGTGTTTGAACGGGAATTAATAAAATGAAACAGTACACGTTTTATAACATTAGTGTATATTTTATAAATCCACATAATCTGAAATGAAGCGAAAATGAGTAAATCGAGAGCATGTTTGTATGTACAGCTAAGTATAAATGGATTTTAAAATATTTCTTTCAAAGTATATCACATAATATCTGAAAGGCTGTGTTAGAATCATGAAATAAATATTATATAACAATCGTACAATGTCCATAATGTAACTCACTATACTTTTCCTGATTAAAACGTCTAGAAGACACTGTATAAAAATAAATATGTCTTCCCTATTTTATATAGGCTTCTTTCCATTACATGCACTGGGGAAAATTAGAAACAAACGTACAACGTGTAGATTCTCTTCGATAATTTCATTACGCATCTATTACAAAACATGTCTCACAGTCGTGATATTTCAGTAGATCTAGTTGATGTAAATTTCGTTTTGCACTGCAGCTATGTGTAACAAAATTTATGAAAATATTTACCAATATAGATCAGGATTATCGCATAAAATATCGATTCACGTAACATTTAATAACAGATGAGCATTAAACACATTTCAACAAATAGTTACGTTTATCACGGATTTGCAAAATTTAAAAGAAATGAAGAAATAATCGACACATACGTAATACTTGTTGCACGAACGCTGAGACACGTTTCCAACTTTTCATGGCCTACTGATATAAGCTCTTATGTTTTATTATTACTCGTAGTTAGGTACGCACGTGTGGTATGGCATATATATACATGTATATATGAGATACATATGTCTATACATGCATTCAAACTTACATACACACACGTTTCGATAGAAATTCAATTCGATGTATGTGTCTATAATACAGGCTGCTATATTGCATATTCAAATGACGCGATGACACTGTCATTGTTATCGTATTCATTTTAAGAACACTTGCATATATAGCACAAAAAAGCCTAAACTACATCTTTAAGCTCTGAATATTGTTATAAAACGGATTTATGCGTCTTTTTTGGCACATTCTACTTATATTCGCAAAACGGACATGTTCTACAGAAATGCTCGATCACACACGCTCATTCCTTTCAATAACACTTTCTTTCATTACAACAGTCTTTAATTACAGTTTTTAATTTTAAAAAATCCTTAATCTTATCAAATCACCAATTATATGTATAATGGATAATTCTGGCACAAGGAAAAGTTATGGATTTCAAAACTGTGTGTATGGCTGTAGAAATATTATGACATAAAGCTTGATTATACATTTTGCGTGATCTAACTAAAATATTTTAAACCGTATGTAATCTTAAAACATATTCTTTGGATAAATAATTGTACATTCTTAATGTACATATACATACATCCACGGCATTTAACGTATTGAGCGCTGATGATAATTTTGTTAAAATTATAGATCAATGAAATATTGCAGTAAATGTTTATAAAACTAAAGGTACGCAAATAAAATTAATAAAAATTTATTAATTTAGGAAAAAAAATTTCTTCTGGTAGACCTTCGCGCATTCGATTTTGCGTGAATGTATAATAATATATAGAATATAAAAGTCTTTTATCTATGCCCCAAGCATTGCACATTACTCATTTAAGTTTCCTATATTGACATTTGTTGTCTAATTGTAAAGCGCATAGATATATAGAATCCTCCATACAATACATGGTGCATAACACTATGTAATATAGAGATGAGCATCATGTTAAATTTTTGTTCAATTCGTTATTCGATAATAAATTTGTTTGACCGTTTAAATAACTTTCTATCTAGATAGGTACTCAAATAATGTTATATGTTTTATTCGTACGAATAACAATTACTTTTATGAATAATATGAGTATCATATTCTCTCATCACGAATAAATTAGAAATACTTCTTTTTTATCTTTTATTATTCAAATAAGAAAAAGAGAAATTTTTACCCCATTCCTAATAAAATTGAATAAGCCTATTCTTTTCGCTATGTAGAAAACGGAGATTTTATAATTATATATTATTTTGGCATATATATATATATATATATATATATATATATATATATATATATATAATGTATATAGATTTATTTAAGAGAAAACATAAACCAATTTCCTTGATAGCGCTATAAGATACCTTTTAACAAATATTTCTGTTTATAATGCCTCAAGAGGTTTCTCTATTTAAGGCAAATTAATTTCTTTTTTTTTCATATAAAATTTTTAAATATTAAAGCCAGAAGGATTTCGTATTAACTTATTCACTACCAATTTCGAAGAGTTTTGGTGATTGGATTTTATTTAAAACCTGTAGAAAATATTCTTTTCATAAAATCTATCGCGGAAAAATCATATAGAGTATTTAATGTTATTGCCTGAAATAGCTCGTTTATTGTTTGCTGAATTAAAAAATATTTAAAACTATACAATAAAAGCTGCATCTTTTTATAATTGTTTATGAAATATTCTGATTTGCTAAATATTATATTATCGATCAATTCAGTCTTTTAAAAGTGTTCATTCATATTTCTTGAAAATATTTAATAATAAAAATTTATGATATAATAAATAATAAGTAAGATGTAGAATATACAGAGAAAAAGATTAATGTCATCAAATATTATTTAAATTATGCAGCATGATAATTATTATGTAAATTTAATTATTTAGTATATTGTTCTTTTTACAATTAATCAATTATTTTTTAAATAATAAAGGCCGTGAAGAGACTCTAAGGCTATGTAACTTCTATTACCTTGCTAAGTATTTATATATGGCAGTAAATACGTTAATATCATAGGCTAATGAATATTTTTTAATGTTTCCTTTTTAACATAATACTTCTGCCTTTGACCTAAATATCACTTTGAATATACTGATTTTATTCTATGATTAATTAATATTGAGAGTCTGTTATTAGAATTTCCATTCCAAAATATCGAGTTACCTTTCTTTTTCAATATCAAGATTATTTTCTGTATTTTCTTTTCGGTAAAAACATTTTTCTATCAATAGATTTTTAGATAATCAAAAATTATGATAATAAAAAATTGTGCTGTCAGAAATACGTATACGCCAAATAATAATCTTTTTTTACATGCAAACACAGGAAATAGCAAAAAGAAAACAGGCATATCTATATTTGCATATAAAATTAATTATATAATAAATCTAAGTAAAATTTGGCATTTTCGATTATCTCAGTAATCTATTATTCTTAAGTTAAACACGTCCTTATTATACTTAAACTCTTGCGAAAAAGATATATAAGTCGCGATCTAAAATGCAACGTCTCCAAAAAGATACAAGTATTTCGTTCATTCTATAAGAAAATTCAACTTTTCCTTAAGTTGTTATTTTATGTGAGAAGACTTAACAGTCTGTGTGTGTGTGTGTGTGTGTGTGTGTGTTTATATATATATACACACACACATATATGTCAAATCAAATCGAAAAGTAGCTCCAGTTAAATTTTCGCTAACAAAAACTGAAATGCAAGTTACATAGAAAATAATATATAGTTTAATAATATATTCGCAATATTTTCTGCGTATCTTTCAACGCATACGAAAGCAATCGTATTTATGCGTGTGTGTTAGAAAATATTTTGTGATTGATAAATAAACTTATCTAATTATTTAATTCAATTATATCTATGTTTCTTACAATTAGATTATATATTCTTGGTAACATAAATATGTGATATATTTGGTTTAAATCCAATTTTTTATAACGATTATAAATATACTAGACAACAACGTGCATGAACTTATCCGTAAAAAAATTTCTGGTTATTTACATCTTGGATGTATTGTAATTTTATTACTGGATTAAGAATTATTCGAAGGAAAAAAGTTGTCTTTGAATCAATAATATTGTGCTGATATATGCATCAACAATATTTAGTAGATAAATAATATATATATAAAATTCATATGACACACTCACTCACACTCACACTCACACACACACACACACACACACACACACACACGCACGTACACAAAATGAACGAAAATATATATATATAATCTTTGGAACTTAACAAAGTCCTGCATCAGCTGCTTTAACACATTTGTTTAATTAATATTATTAATTATTAATTATTCACGCCACACATATCAAATCTAAATGAATATGCCATCCACAATCTTGTTTTAAGTGATTACTCCAGTTATACAAATATTCATATTAAATTTACACTTTGTGATTATTAATTTTCATGATATATATAATAACTAATAAATGACAGCAATCACTTAAAAACCTCTATATGATTCTCGTTATCAGCGATAACTTATATCATACTTTCTTTATATTATACCATACTTTGTGTGTCCATTACGATCACTTGAGCCACATTAAATTCTAAGATATTTACACAAAAATATTAGGGCACTTTAGCTTCCAATTCCTCCATGTTACTTTGTAAAATGCTAAATGTAAAAAATCTGCTTGCGTGAAATACTAAAAACTTATCTATACCTTTCTCATATAAAAACATTTTCTCTACGCTGTCTTAGTCTGACTTGGAAAAAAGACTTACTATGTATGTGTATGTGTGTATGAATACTGTTATTCTGATAAAATGCACTGAAAACTTGTACAACGTCATACGCTAGAATATCTCATGGTATATATCAACTACTATGTAGTCTCCAATATACTTTGTAAGAAACTTTGCAAGTTTTACGCGTAATCAAACGACTTTAATGAGTTTTAGAAGCTCATGATAAAATTAAATCCGATCTTCCACAACTTTTTTGTGTTTTTTTTCTCTTTTTCTACAGCAAAGAACACGATAGACAGTCGTTATACGAACGTCGTTATACGATATATTACGATGTAATCTATTATAATATAAAATATGCCATTCGCTTATTCATTCACTTACTGAATTGTGCCTGCACGGAGCTACCAGATCGCTTATCGTAGAGTTATGACGAGTTTTTCTGCAGCCTTCGTTATCGTTCACGAGGTTGGGATTAACGGAGTGCGAGAGAGCAGCCGTTTTGTTGAAGTCTATCGTGGCGTAGCCTTTTTGTGGCTTATTCGGAGATTCGGGTGGAGAGGGGGCAATGTTTACCGTATTGTTGGATGCGCCGGTGGGTGAGTCTTTCTTATCTAGATCCAAAACTGCATAATTTACCCCTATATCCCTAATCGGGAATCCTGTCGGCGTAGAGGGTGCTAAGGGTGACCTCTCAGCTACCGAGGTGCTGGAGAATCTCTTTCTCAGACTTTCGATTTCGCTCGCCTCTAGATTAGCGTAGAAATGTCTGAAGTCTTCCTCCATATCCGATTGTAAGACGGGCAACGGAGGTGGACGTATCCTGATGGCACGGGACGTCTCCGTCGGTCCAGGATCTTGTCCAGGACCTATGTTCATGTATGCGTGTTCAGATCCGTCTATGTCGTTACTTTCTTCCTTGAGCTGCGTCGTCTCGAAAGTACTGTGCGTTGACGAGATTGGGTTGGCGTCGCTGCATATGTCTATATTCATATAGAACGCCGTAGTCGTAGGTAACGGTGACGTTGACGGGTCATAAATTGTCATTTCTCTGTAATCCTTAATGGGTATCACCTCCATTAATGGGTATCCATCCTTTTCCACATTATCACGCGTAGAAGCGTTTTGTGGTGATCTGCAATAATAATGAGGAACGTGTATTCTATCCGATATGCTTTACGTAACCGCGTAAACGAATCTCGACATTACCTTTGTACTGTTTTTCCAAGGCTTTTATTATTGTTGTGCTCCATTTCAATGGAGTGAGACGACAAGACTTGCTCATTGACGTAAAGAGAGGACGGATGAGGCTGAGAACGCGGTGGCGGTGGTGGCAGCATAGAGGGTGGTGACGGTGATCCCAAGGTTTCTTGGGGAGATATAGGGCTGCTACTGCTTCCAACACTGCTTGATCTTCCGTTCTGTTGGCTATGAGGAAATCTAGAGCTTTTATGCGTGTTACTTCTGATATTGGATGATATTGGATCCAAATAGTTAGGCTCTGACGGGATTGGAAGGTCTCTGGACAGCGTATCATCTCCACTGTTGTTGCATACCTGGTAATAAGGGAATATTTTCTTGAACGCGTCTACTATCGTATCATATATTTAAATATTGATATTAGGACGTACGTTGTATTGATTTATATTAACCTGAATTTTTGATTGTACAAGATTAAATAGTTCTTCAGCTCTCTGACATTTAAAGGCATATATACCAGGACCTGTGACGCAGCGTCTGCCCGACTCAAAACTGAAGACGTCATGATGTTCTATGTCCCATCCATATTGACGTAAAAAGCGCAATGGCCATGTAATTGGCTGCTTGTCACGCTGATAAAATATAATATCTTCTTCGGTGACTTCCAAACGTCCAGGAGAAGTGATGTTACCCTCGTTGTCTATGTTCATTACTTGAAAAATGTTGGGCGTAGCTCTGCTATGGACGCAACCCATCTTTTATTTATCTAAAACAAAAACAATACACATTGAAAAATCTATTCCATTATAAACCACTTACGTGTTACGCCGTTGCACCAAGGAGCACATTGCGTAAAAAAAGAACGTACAGCCAATATGTATAGTAGTCCTAATGATTCAGGGTACAGCAGGTAAACAAAGAGTAAAACTAGTTGTAGTATGATACGATAGAAACGTATAAGATATGCGGAGATCTATCGCGTATCGCGTTCCGTCACGTCAGTGAGCTATCGCGTTATGCATTTACACGATATAGACGATACATACCAAATATGACATAGCCAAAACGACATAGATCCGTCTTGCGACGAGCGTGATCGTCCGGATCGGATCGTCGCTTATCCCCGCTTATCCCGTCATTCCTGTCGCTGACGCTGACAGTCTGACAGCGTATTCCGAAACATTGGCGCGTCTATGACAATGACACTAGAGATGCGCGTCGCGATTTAAGTAAGGTTGTACAAAGTGTACGATAAAACTGACGAGAACCACGCCAACGTCATCATCGAAGCGACAAACGTAGGCACGTTTCAATTACAAATATTTGATAAGCTTCAGGGGGAAGAACTTTCAGAAGGGAGATCGTTTGAGACGAGATACAAGATACAAGAACGCGTGATACGCACCCATGTGATATTTCCCGTAAGTTCGTCGAAACGCTCTGTCAAAAGTTCTTGAGATAATATGTCGATGGACGATAACTGATACTGTTGCCAAAGAGGAAGCCTGAGAGAAGCCATATTGCCACGTTCATTATCCGACACTGCTGATAAAACATCAATCATTTTGGTGCGCGTCCGCGCTACATCTCTAAATACTATAATAAATATATGATATTTTGTAATTCTTAAATATATAATAAAATATTAGTTTAACTTGTATATTATTGATTTAAAAAAGATGGATTTTAGCAGTATGAAAATGTTTTGGACGTATTACACATATGTATATATTTTAATCAACACACGTTGTTTATTTATATTGCTTTGAAAAGGAAGATTATATATTTGTATAATTATTGATTGGTTAATGGTATACAAGTAATTAAAATACACGTCTCTTGCGGACGTTACGAAAATCGATAAATTATAGAAGAGTATACGTGGCAAGAAAGTTTGTGCTATTTAACGTTTCAAAATGGAGGAGGTCTCTGATATAAAATACGAATATTTATAATTATAGAATAAGATCGCAGTGTTAACACACCGCGTGTCATTGACATATTTTTTATGATGACTTTACGTGAGCTACGTGTGTGAATTTTTGATCTGTCTATAGCTATAGGCAAATATAACATATGGTACTCTTCAACTCGTTGCTATTTCAGGCGAAGAGGCTTACATAGATGTTACGAAACTTTATATATAGCAGTATGTCTGGCTAGTTGTGTGTGTATGTATTTGAGAAAGAGAATGGAATAATGTTACGACGCGATTTATTCTCTCCAATCAGAATGTCTCATCTCTCGGGAAGAATCGTCGCCTCTTCGTTCACGAGTTCTAGATTATATTCGCGTTTGCTTGCGGTCGATAACTCTGCGTATCATTGTCAAACGTGCTATTTCGAGAATTTAATTGATACGATGTATGATACATTTTTAACGACAAAATGGCGTTCTCTTTCGGGTAAGAATAATGGATTTTGAGTAATAGAACGCATTACCGCATCTTTTATCAGACGTATTGAAATACACGTAAGATATATATATACATTTATGAGTATTAACGTTTCATGTGTGTTTTGTACGAGATAGTCTGTTTAAATTAAGCGTACGTTTGCCTTGATAAGAAGAGAAAAATATTATAAAATAATGTTGTATTACGTATATTTCTTTGTTTCGTAAACGTGAAAGGTGGGTCACTATATTATAGATCCAGGCAGCTATGCTGCAGAAATAGTTAACGGCGAGATTGTAGATCATTGTAGATCACATTAAGCTGTTTGAGCTCTGCACGTTCCGCACGTATTTTCTTCAAGCTCTTTTCTTTTGCATTACTATTCTTAGCGTCAAAAATATATGGAAGGATTATTTGGCTTGAGTGTGTCTTTATAAAGATATATGGTAAATATACCGAAAGATTTCTGTTATGATAAATCGATTTGGGCATGCGCTCCATCGCATCGGGACGCATCTCGTCTCGCATGTTTTATGGAAGCGTGACTCTGACTACGCTTATTCTTTCTGTTTTGGCAACAAACTCGGTACACCCTACACCCTCCACCCTTCTCATTAAAAAAGGAGACCGAGCTGTTTCATATACGATATAATATTACGTTCCCGTATGCCATATGCCGTATACGATTTGAATCTTATAGAAATTCAAAAGAGATGACAAAGTCAAGCATGACCCTCGGAACAGCCAATTAAATTACAATTAAAAATAAATAGCTCTATACCGGAAATTGTGTCGTAACTACACGCTCAGGTGAAGAACCGTCCAAAATCAGGATAATCAGTACTTATATTGCCATATTGGTCTCAATCTCTCGTGGACATTCGGATGCTCTTTGCTTTTTTCTAATACATTGTTGTATCAATATAAAAAACTACGAAACCAATCTTTGATTAAAAGATCGTCGGTAGACTGACGTCACTAACCGACAAGTATCATCGTCATCGTCGGAATAGCGATAATATTTAAGAAGAAAAAAAGAAAGCTGCTTCACGTCAAACGCCCGCGCGTGCTGATGACGTCGTCGGTGCTCGCCCCTTGTTACCATCGTCGTCGTCGTCGTCGTCGTCGTCAAGGGTTGGAAGTTGGAAGCCAGGTTCAGGGGTGCGGGCGAGGGGTAACGAGGGTACGACGCAGAGCGTCGGCTCCGAGCGGCCGCGGCGCCGGAAAACGTAACGTGTTTTATCGATTTACGTCGGCGGCCATACTCGCATTCGCCAGTACCGGTCAGGCGCACTCGACTCTTCGTCCCTACTGTCGCCGTCGTCATCGTGGTCATCGTCGTCGTCGTCGTCGTCGTCGTCGACGAGAGACCGTCGTGGTGCACGGCAGATAAGGATTTTCGCCCTTTCGATCTTTCGTTTGTCGGCCATCGTCGCGCGGACGACGCAGCGCGATGCGTCTGTAATACGATCGAGAGCACGAGAGATATAAATCCGGCCCGCAAAATTGTAAAATCCGTAAACGTATCCGTGTTGTTCGATATACGCGATACGCGCGAGTCCGCAAATAGTTACAGGCCGAGTCGAGGCCTCCGTCGTCGTCGCCGCCGCCGCCGCCGCCGCCGCCGCCGAGTAACGCCCAGGGGAGGAAGCAGCTCGAGGAGAGAAGAGAGTGATAAAGAGGGAGAGAGGGTGTGTGTAGAGCCGACGACAGCTTCCGTGTCGTGAGTACCATTCCGGATCAACGAAACTTTTCTTTCCGCGTTTGGCCATCTTACCGGGATAAATCCCTCATGGCGGATGTAAACGTAGAACGCGCGTACCCTTCGCGCGGATATACGCGGTAACCACCCCCGCGGCCCTGGTCGGCTCGGCAAACTCGCGTGTAAATCGATGTCTTTAATCGTTACCATCGTCACGTGCATGGTTTATTTTTCATTCAACGAGATTCTACGTCGAGGATCATACTGATTTCAGCAGTAAATTTCAGGGGAGGATATCTTCGCCAAGGTGAAATAATCGTTTCCTGTCCCTGCCTCTGCCCCTTTCAGGAATCCGACTCGCTGATCAATTAATCTATATAGGTCCCTTCCTCTCTTTCACGTTGTCGTTCTCTTGGATTCCGCGGCTTTCTTCCTTATTAGTCGCAGGATATGCGTTTCCATATGTAACGATCCAAGGATTAAACAACGTACGATGACGTAGATAAATTACAGCAACGTATGAATCGTCGTAAACTCTCTTAATCTGGAGAAAAAAGATATACGAAGGTTGCAGTAAATGTGGTAATAACGTGCAGATGGAGGACGTTATTTTAATATAGTAGAACACTCGAACGTATTTAGATTTAAAAATTTAGAAATCTTTACCTCACGTATTACGTATTGTTAATGTTTGTAATAATAGCGTGCAGCCAATAAGAATGTGATACGGTAAAAAATAAATATATCTGCGAACGTCTGTGGCAAGAAATAAGAATGTTGAAATGTCTAAAACGTTACAGTGTACGCTATAAATTTATTTTAGTGTATTTCAAGGTTAAAATGTATACATGTAAAAAGAAACTGTGCTTTTGCCACCTATTATAATATATCATGAAATATTCTGATCCATAATAATATTGTTCGCAATACTCGCAGAAAGCACTATTGAGCATCGAAACTTCGACATTTACATGTCGTTTTAGTTTTATATTAAATATCACACACACACACACACACATAGTTTTCTCTCTTGAGACTGTGCGCGAATCATGATTTTTAAAAACTCAGAACGGGTAACGTAGAGGACATGAATAAATGAGCTTTTTGAATGCTTTTTGAAAAGTCCGCGCTGCAGAGATCTGTACACGTATTTTGATAGATTGATCAGTGCAGATTTAAAAAAATCGGAATGTATTAGCGCTATATTATTCTTCATGTTAGAGGTGGAACGTTCGTTTTTTCCCTCCCTCTTACGTAACTTATAACATTTTTGCTTATACTCATCTATAAAAAGCACGTTGGATACTTGAAGAACGATTGTAGTGAACGTATCTTTGAGAAAGATGTGGACCAACTTATGTATATTTGAATGACCGTACGTTCGATGAGAAAAGATACTCTTAGCATTCCGTTCTTTTATTACACATTTTTGATATCTCCGAAATCTGATGTTGATCCCCCTCCTAGGAGAAGCACGTGGAAGTCAATATTCGCTTTTTATTCGACCCCTTTTTCAAGATATTATGTATTTCTCTTGCTGTGTATGCTGCGCTTGCTTTTTATTCCAAGTAGCTTATATAATGTTATTAATAATATTTCCATTTTTTAGATATTAATATACGTAATATATCATAAACCGGGAGGAAAATGACGTGTTCGCGACACATTTATCGTTGTTTCTTAGTTATTTATAAAATTTTTATACAAGTATTTCGCAAAAAACGACGCAACGATTTTCTGGCAATAAAGATAAAAATGTTATAAAAAATAAGAAATATATTATTATTTAATTACGTTTATAACATGTTGAATGTTGCAAAGAGAGCATCTAAGCATTCTCAATTAGTGCTCACTTCGTGTCAGTTGTGCACCTTGGAAAAAATATTTAGTTCATGAACGTTATCCTCGTCTTTAAATTTCTATCATACAATTCGAAAGTGCTCAAGTACGGCACTTTAGACGTCATTGACATTTTCATTATGATTGTAACGTGCACTTATATTATACATGTGCATGTATATATACTCGCTACTCGCGGTAGTTTGAGAGATGACATTTTACCGTTTTAATATATGTTTGTATTTTTCCAACGTTTTAAACGCCTGTCGAGCTAAGTGTCATTGACAAGTGTCATTTCAGTAACTTACGGAAAACATCTGTTGACGTTGGCACGTGAAGAGATGCAAAAGGAGAAAGTGTATCGCGTAAGAGTTTACCCTCAATCGAATCGGTTATTTCGGGAAGGTATGTGCGTGACATTAAATGAATCGATATAAACTTTCCAAACTCTTATTACGTCGTATAGAAGAAAAAAGTTGCCATACCTTATCCTTTATTGCAACGCGAGTTAATTTTGTTATATCTTTTTACTTTTATCATTGATTTTATCAATGACAAAATATAATATCTCGAAATGAAATATCATTCTGTATATACGTGAGAAATATATATACAATATAACTTTACATATTATACTAATATAATATGTCTTCATGCATCATATTGGTTTTCAATATGTGTTACTTTGTCGGACTTTAATTTTATTAGGGCCATCATTGTGAGCGATCGTTGCGAACGATATCACTCAGCCAGCTGTCTATTTATCAGTACCAAGTTGTATTGATTTGCTCTTTAAATGCGCTCGATTACGCACACGCGCGCATCTACGGATCGAGTCGTTTAGGCATGTTCAGAACGTTCACGTAATGTAGCCTAATCACATGAAATTTGAATAGATTTTAATCATACCTGACGATAGGCTGATTCGAATTTATAAACGGGGTACGAAAGAATTTTTGATTATTATTTTTCTCACTTTTTTTTATCAAAGGGCAGGTTATATTGGAGAAAGCTGTCGAAACTCACTATTTAAAAGAGTTTCTTTGTACTAAAAAAAGAGAGGGAAAAAATACTTTCTAGATGCAAAGCAAGAGACACGCTATTGATGATAATAAATTTTTCCAGGGATAGTAAAATTGATATTTGGTTGAATGGATTTTAACTACGAAATAAATGGCGGAAGTATTTTATACTTTTTACAGGTTTTGGGCGCGAGCATGCAATAAATTAATTCTTCACGCTTGAAATAATTTTTAATACCGTTACAAAGCATTTTTTCACCTGGCAAAAAACGATAGTGCGACGTTTTGTGCGATAATTTAAATTCTGCATAATATATGTCTTCTATATGTCTGCATAATTTATGTCTTATGAAATGTAAATAAAATTTTCCGAGATAGTAAATAAAGGAACGATTAAAAAGGATTGATAATTGAGCGTAAATTTATAATACAAAATTTTAATGTCTCTTAAAATAATTATAATCCAATGACGGTTTCTTTCACTAATAAAAATATTATAAAAAAACATTTAATCAAATATTAATCTTTTGTAGAATTTTCCGTAAAGAAAAGTTGATAAACAAAAAAATAAATACGTCGTCTCTTTTAATTTGAATAAGAAGAAAAACCTAACCTCTTAAGAAAAAGCTACATAGACGCGATTCATACAATATATATTTATATCTTGAAGAAAAAATGATACGGAAAAAAGTTAAATGGCTTAATGATATTTAATAAATGCAGAGCAATATTTTTCTTCGCATAAATTAATTTTCCCATGATTCGGCGTGTAAAAAAATTAAGTAATCGAAAAGTTAATATTTTGTAAGACTTGAGATACGTGTACCTATTTTACTTTATATTTTACTCTGACAATCTGATTCGAGTTTCCCTTCAGTTTCGTTTCCTTTACTTTTTAACTTGTGACTTTTTATACGAAATCTTGGAATTTTCTCCCTCTCATCGTAACTTCCTATTTCATCTCCCTTTATTTCTTTCGCTCGTCGTTCAGTTATGGATTGGTGCGGACGAGCTCCCACGCGCTGCTCGATAATACATCGCCATTTGCGCGCGGTAATGCATCGCTTTTATAATACGTTTGTCTCCTTTCAGCCCTCTCTGGCTCTCTCGGCAACCTTTTCGTAGAGACATTGTTTTTCTGTCGACGCACGTCGACGAGAGACGACGCGACGAGACGAGGCGCTTAAGCGCCTCTCATTGTCAGATGTTCTGTCCGGTCGTTGTCGTGGCTTTGTCAGAATTCAGAAGCATTTAAGGCGTGATACGTCAAGAGAAATTTCTCCCTCGAGTAAAAAAGAATCACATAAGGTTTCACTCTGTTTCGCTCTGTTTAAATAATTTCCTCTTTGAAAAAGTCTCGTCGTGTTAAGACGTTATTGTAAAAGGCTGCGGTTACCCTTTATGAATGGCTACTGTTTACACCGCAATGCTATTTTTTACTTTCCATGCGATAAATGGAAAGTATAGTGCAGGCGTCTGTGTGACGCGTGTCGCGCACAAATATATAGCGCTATATTCTCCTCAACACTCTTAAACACTCGTCGTGTTCAAAGCCAAGTTTTTCAGATACGCATGCGGCTTCGACTACCGTGCGCGGAAATGCTCTCGTAGTAGATTACGAAATCTCGAGCAGCGTCCGCTGTTGGTTGTTCGCGTGTCATGCTCCATGCATCGTTGGTGCTTCATTAGATCTTCATATCGCTCATTAACTCAATCTGTCTAACTTATCTGGGACATAAAAGATTGAATTATCTCAAAATCTCAACATTGCTTCAATATTATTAAATTATTGAGATGGTGGAATTGTTATTGCAGGAAGAATCGCCTGAATATTTACTGTGTAAAACGTAGAACAAAATAAGCCTGCCTTGCAGAGTATATGGATTTATAGTAATGTCTTTTTCATGCAGAAAATGTTCGTCAAAAGAGACATAAATGACGCTAAACAGCGTGAAGAAACGGAACCGAACATTAATGCAACCACGCCGCGGGATGCAGCCATTCCTGACGCAGCCGATATAGGGGGTGCTTCCGATAAACGTGAGTATTACCGTAATCTTTTACTCCGTTTTCTTTTTTAAGAATAATGATCAGTAAATTTTAGCCCCAAGTTTTACCACGTCGCAAATTTAAAGTTTAATTGTTAGCACGTTAGATGCTTGGCTGCTAGATTTTGAATGCAGACACACGTATTGTGTAATATCTTTTTAATATTTGTAACTTTTTTCCACCAAATATTAGTTTAAGCTTGTTATTTGTTTCTAGCAATGGAAACGAATATAAAAGCCACAGAAAAGACCACTTTCGGAAAGGATTTTCAGGACCTCGAAGAAAAATTCGTAGCAAAAACAGGAATACCGTCATGGGGTCTTGTTGCTATTTTAATAGGTAATAAAGCATACGTCTTTTTTCGAAAAGGCGACTTTTAATTGCAATCAATCAACAACAATCAATGTTTATTATACAGTTTATTTATATAGATATAGACGGAATAAAGCTTATTTTGTTAAATATGTAACGTTAAATAACAACTAAAATAATTTATTTGTAATTTAATCACTAACTGTATTCTAAAGAAAAGACAGATGAAATGACACGAAGGGACATTTAATCTTGTGTATTTGTAATATACTCGAGTAAATAAAGTGTGTTTTGTATTTTCAAACGAATTAATCTATATACATATAACATAATATTATAACATACCTACAATTATGTGTACGTAAAAATGCTGAATGTTGATTACAATGTGTATATATTTTTATATTTTATTCCTATATAGCAGTAGGCATAATTGTTCTCGGAGTCTGCTTTTGCTGTATACGAAGATGTTGTCGCAAACGACGCTCCAAAGATGGCAAGAAGGGATTAAAGGGCGCGGTGGACCTAAAGTCCGTGCAACTTTTGGGGAGCACGTACAAGGACAAGGTATGTATTCAGTGTGCCGTGACTTGATGTAGATATTAGAAACACCCTCTACACTCGTGGAATCCACTTCGATATGCGAAGGTCCAGCCGGATATGGAAGAATTGACGGACAATGCCGAAGAACCGGACGAAGCTGAGAGTAAGCAAAGCGAAGTTAAGCTTGGAAAACTACAGTATAAGGTACAAACTGCTTCTTAATTGTCTTAAATTAACGTATCTTTCATCCATGCTTGCTACGTAGAAAATGAAATAAGTGAGCCATCTGCTCAAGTTAAAATTTATTAAAATTAATTGATTTCAGCTCGAATACGACTTTAATTCGAACAGCCTCGCCGTAACAGTAATACAAGCGGAAGAACTGCCGGCATTGGATATGGGTGGCACGTCAGATCCATATGTCAAAGTGTATTTATTACCGGATAAAAAGAAAAAATTCGAGACAAAAGTTCACAGAAAGACGTTGAATCCAGTCTTCAACGAAACTTTTACGTTTAAGGTCAGTTAAGAATTGCAATGTTTCGAATCTAATATACTTGATATACTCAATATACTTAATAGATCTAATTAATTTTACATATATATTTATAGTTTTATGCTATACGTATATAATTTTAACGCAGAATACAATCTTTAGAAAACATTTCAAATTCTTTTAATTTATTCGTATCTCTAATTTAAATGTGAAAATTGTTATATATAATAATTTGTTTTTAATACTTTTATTAACATATTTGTACAGAGTGTTCCTTATGCCGATGCTATGAATAAAACTCTGGTCTTCGCCATCTTCGACTTTGATAGATTTTCGAAACACGATCAGATCGGTGAAGTAAAGGTGCCACTCTGTCAAATAGATCTAGCGCAAACGATTGAGGAATGGAGGGAACTACAGAGTGTCGAAGGTGAAGGTGGACAGGTGAGTCAATCGAATGACTAATTGTAAGACAATATTCATATAAATATAGTGCAATATATGTGACACACATATAAAAATAGGATACTATGGATGGGTGTTTGTGTATTGATGAATTAATTTTTTTTTGCTAAAATAAAAGAAATGCCTAGCTATAGCAATAATTAGCAATTACAAAATGGATATATTGCACATTAAAAATACATTAAACAGGAATTTTTGTTGTTTACAGGATAATAAACTAGGTGACATATGCTTTTCGTTGAGATACGTACCGACGGCCGGAAAGCTTACGGTAGTTATTCTGGAAGCTAAGAATCTGAAGAAGATGGATGTCGGTGGCCTCTCAGATCCTTATGTCAAGATCGCGTTGATGCAGAATGGAAAGAGATTGAAGAAGAAGAAAACATCGATCAAGAAGTGCACCCTTAATCCGTATTACAACGAATCATTCACTTTCGAGGTGCCCTTCGAACAGATACAGGTACGTAAAAAAATATGTTTTATTATCATTCAATTATTAAAATTTCAATAATTAAATAACAACTAATTATGTAAGTTAACAACTGATACATATATATAAAATTTTATTTACTTATTATAATGTAAGAAAATTACTTTAGCATTATGTTAGTGTTATTTTTGTAATAGTTGAAGGGTGTGCAGTAACAGTTTAAAATTGACGACATTATTTAATTTTACATATAATAACAATAACAATAACAACAATAATAATATTAAGTTATGCTCTTAACATTTTAATAATCGCAATATTTTTTGTGATCTGTCAGAAAGTGCAACTCGTCGTCACCGTAGTAGATTACGATCGCATTGGCACATCAGAACCGATCGGGAAGGTAGTCTTGGGATACAACGCGAGTGGAACGGAATTGAGACATTGGTCCGACATGTTGGCATCCCCCAGGCGCCCGATCGCTCAATGGCACACGCTAAAGGACCCTGAAGATGGAGATAAGAAAGATTAAGAACGTTGACTTTCCAATTAAGATATATACGGTCAGTATTAATGGAGCTAATTATACATAAGAAATGTTTCAATACAATTTCACTTCTAAAAACAAATTTTCTGAATAATCCAAGATGATTTTACTTTAAGATTTTATAACAAATAAATAGATTCCGAAATTAAATTTAAGATGCGAAGTTATTAAGATTCCGAGATACTTTTCATAATCAACGCGACTTTCTTCTTATCTTGTCTTGTCTTGTCTTGCCTACTCGACTCTAAAAAGTTTTATGATAAAAATTCTTTGAAAGCGATCCTCTCTTTACAGGATAATTGATCGAGAGAAAAGGGAACGGAGAAGAGTAAAAGAGATTGAGAGGGGTGTAGAGAAACGAGAGAGGAGAAAAAGAAAGAAAAATCTATAGGGAAAGATAAAACAAATCCATATTTAATAGATATTAATAATCTATGATAAACGATAAAAATACCAACCATATGAAGGATTTAACATTAAAATAATATGTTCCCACATGGAGAGTGTAGTGTCTTGTATATATACATATATATCTAATATACTTCTCTCTGTAGATGTAACTTTAAATGATTTCAAGTAACGCGTCCTTTTTGAGATAGCAATCGAGCAAGGAAAACATTTGAGATTTGCAAAAAAATATCGATGCTTCAAGGAAATATTTACATCATGTTATCTCTTAGATAGGCTTCCATCTTGATTCGTTCGTTTGGTGTCACAAGTTTCCGTAATATACTTTCTAAAGACAGACATCGTTCACGTTATGAAGAAGTATATATATGATATATATATAGTTGTGTCGTCCGTAAAAATAGCGGCATAATCTTCTTCCGAGGGAAGAAACATATATAGCGACGATAGTGAGAACGTTCACAGTTGTGTTGTCTATATGCGAAATGATAATAATGAATGGTTATGTATCATCCGGATTCGCAAAAAATCTCGAAATGTGGATTACAATCTGCAAATTGAAGGGCTCAGTAAAAAGGTAAAAAAAAGGCAAAATTACAAAGTTGAAAAATTTCAGGTACTATTTCAAGCACTATTCGCAAAGGCAAAATTATAACTTGTAATAAGCTATAATTAAATCAATATAAAATTGTTTTTTTTTTTTCATTTTTAGAGACATTTTGGGCTTTTGTAGAAAAATAATTTTATATACGTACATATGTATATGTAATTTACGTATTGTCTTGTATTTTTGTCTCTCGCGCCTATTTTTGCTTAATTTTTCTTTTACCGAGTCTTTTAACGAAACATTGACGCGGACCGTCGCCGTCGTTCATATAATTTCTTCTCGCGATTAATTCATCGTTTCACTTTGGATTGCTTCGAAAAGAATCGAAATCGCGTCGTACACCGAACTCTCCCGTGCACTCAAAAGGTCAAAGCGCGGCTTGGAGCACATGCATAAACGTCGCTTTAGAGACGATGGACATTTCCGTATTGATCCTCGTGTGCAACAGCGCGCGGTGCATTTTCGTGCAACGCGCGGAGCAATGCTTTAATCTGCGATGTACCTTCGTGTACTATAGTTAGGCACTTGGTTTATGCACCATTTGTACGGAGAACTCACGATTAAGATGAAACAAATAACGTGACCACGTCAGGAGAATTATCGTTCGATTTAAGTATATCAGACACTGATTCGAAGCACTTACAATTAGATCCAGTTACTCGCGGAAATGACTTCCTACAATTAAATAAAAAGACACGATTTTGTAATTTGACGATATTTTACACGTAGTAAGAAGTACGCGTAAAGTAATATATATGAACAAAAAGTTAATGAATTTATTATATGAAACTATATATAATTTATATTCCGTTATATTGTCTTTATTATGACTTTATATATATTAAATTGCGTTATATAAAAAAGTTATATTATCTGTTATTATTTTATTTGCGTCTATTATAATTTATATTTTGTTCCATAAAACATTTTCAAAAATGTATATGTGTGATGTGTGATTTTGATAGACTCACAATCAGATGTTGAATGCAGACGCATAAGATAGTTTGTTGGGGAAGTTTTATTCGTCTGACAGAACATGTTGATTGTAACATTTTACTAGTCTTATTCGGTTTATGTATGTATAAACGCGGTACGCTTTAATCAATGAATGATCATATTCGAAGAAAACCATGCTGTCCGAAGAAATCGCATATCGCGCCCGACGCGATACAATCGCGCGTTAGCTTTTTACGTGTAACTATGCAATTTTCTAATCGTTGTCACCTATTATACGCATACACACATATGGATATGTAATATACATTATATCGTGACTTATATCTGCTGTGAGTTATCGTTTTTAGTCGCATAAATCGCAACGGGCCTATTCATATTGCAGACTTACGTTAAATAATCCGTTAGTTAACAGTGTCGTTGAATTAAAATAGCAAACAAAATTTATACCAATATTATTGGATGCTTCCAAGGAGATTCTGTGTGGAAAGACTCGATTGATATAAAAGACAAAAAGAGAGAACGGGAAAGGAATATACAAATATAATAGTAAGCGTTGAGTTTGATATAGTACAGCAAAATACTAATAGTTCTTAATATTCTAATTTTTTTTATATGCAATCCTTTTGTCGATGAAAATAAAGTTCGCTAGATTCCAAAATAAATTTGCAAGTCGTGAAAAACTTTATATGCAAATTTTTGCGATTAGTTGAAATAATTGATTTTGAAAAAAGGGCTGTACATGGTGCAAGATCTCTCGAGTTTGAACTGTGCATTTATTTGTAAATATAATCACTTTTTCAGAAATTATAAGTTTATTGGTTGATCTCTCTCTCGTCGCTTCATTTAAATTACACGTGATTGGTGCAATTTTAGTTTTAATTTTTAAAACCAAGAGAGAAGTTATATATGCGATATCTTTAGTGGTATGATATAATATAAGAGCATACTATAGCGTCCAGTTGATGATATACTTAGGATGATCAGAAATCCTAGACTGTAAGGACATGTTTTTTTCTTAAATTTGTATAAAACTTTTAATACTTTGTTTATATCATGTTTTATTCAAGTCCCTTATAAAGCTCTCTCTCTCTCTTTAAAAATATATTTACAGATATATTTTACTGTAACTTATTTATAAAAAAAAATAAGATTATGAAGTAAATATTAATGACCGCGCATAATAAGAGGATGTGGTCATTCTAGGTACAACACTATGGACGCTTTACACACTCATACACACACACACACATCGCGTCTCTTAATAATATATGATAATCGAAAAATAATAACGATAAATAATAATAATAATCACAATAATGTTAATGATAACCGAGGACAGCGAGAATGAACTATTTGGCGATATATCTATTGATTTTAGCTTTGTATCGTAGCGTTTACTTGGTGTATATAAGATTATAATTACGCGTTATACATCTATTATCGTTACAACATGAAGATTAAAGTAATTTATCGTAGAATGAAGTTCTCTTTTGACGGGGAATGGATGGAGGGATACGCTGCTAAAGCCATTCTTTTTTCCTATGTCTCCCGATGTTACGAAGTTAATCCGTTGATGTATCGACCTTAATATTTGTCGTATAATATCTTCTTTTAACGTAAAACTGAGTGAAGACCCAAATTTACCACCGTCGTTATCCACTTCCGGAAAATGACAGAAGCGTAACGTTAAGATTTGAAGATATTGATTTTAAGACATTTTTGTGTTTACGTGGTTTGGAATTTTTTAAATGCCATACATATATCTTCAACTCTAGTAAATTATTTTAGAAACTTCGCTACCCTTTTTTGTTACTTAACAGTTTAAAATATAATTAATGTAATAAATATAAAGTATATTTTGCAATTAACTGCATATATTTGTGACGATTCAATATACATTTTGCATTCTTATCGTTAGGCCGATGTCCATTCGAAGTGGAAGATCGAGAAGATAAAAGCTGAAATTACACGTGCGGAATGAGACAGACGCTCGCGCTGATATTGTCATTCGTCGAATAAATAAAATTCCACTTTCCAAATCGTGAAGTGATCGATGGAGATAAGAAGTCTTCTCCGCAATTGGGTCGATGGGAGAAGACCGATCATCAGAAAACGACAATGCATAGCATTTATCACGCAAATTTAGGAAACCGTAAATCTTATCGTCAAGCGGTTAGAGTGTTAAATTAACGGGGTGTAAAGGCGTCTTTTATTCTCGTCGAACGTGTCGCACAGGCCTTGGAAGAAATTTTCGCTCCTCAGAGTTTTCATCTTATGATCGCGAATCGCGACTCGTCGTCGATCTTCGTACGATACGACCACGAGATCGCGATCCATGCGATTGTAAATCCCGTATTCGTGCGATACACCAATATCGTGTGTGTTACCGGATTTCGTTCTATCGTTTATTCAGGACCAATTATCGTAAATGATAATGTATCGGTATAGTATATGCAAGAAGCACCATTATTACGCAGCAACATTGTATTTAAAACACTTTTACGGGAATTCATGGATCAATATATTGTTAAAAAAATCGCGAGAATGGCGTTGACCATCAAAGGTAACTGCAATACTGTTTTATTTTACTAATTAGTACAAAATAATTTGTTATTAAAATAGAATAGAATGTTGTATTAAGATAGAAAAGTGACAAAAAAATTAAAAAAGAATTGTTGAAATTATTCTTTAATTAAAAACCAGATATTATCTAAATTTTATTTCAAATAAATTAAATGCTTTCGTCCAATTTAACTCTAATTTGTTTTAGTTTATTTATTTTTCAAGGAAAAACAGTGCTTATCTATATTTTCATAAATGTGAAACATAAAAAGCTGGGCACTTCTTACCATTTCGCATCAGAACTTTCGGAGCGTGTTGGTTTGTTTGCGATTTTACATCGAAAGTACCGAGCGTTTATTATTATGTAAGTATGTAACGGTTTAATGTCTTTTCGTCACTTTCAAAGTAATTTCTTCGCTTACGAAACTATTTCCGCCATTGACGGCGTCAACGAAACAGCGACCCCGTCGACGCCATTGCTCGCGAGTTGAAAATTTAGCTAGAAATAGATCTCTCTACTTTTCGGCTGTGCTTTTTCATATTTAAACAAAAATAGATATGTTGCTAAGAGAGAGAGAGAGAGAGAGCGCAAGAGAGAAAGAATAAGAGCAATAGAAAGTGCAGCCGAAAGGAATGGATCTGATGTAAGGAAAACCACGTACGTCCTATATGAACAATGTCACTCATTGTATTGACATCGTCATTAATATCGATTATTACCATTTACCATTTACGAGTAACTTATTTAACTAGAGGTGGTAAAAAGTGTAACGCGATGAAATAATAGAAGATAAACAACATGCACTGTGTAGTGTGATAGTCATAGATCGTGCTGATCTTAGGATCATGTTGGGCAAAACACGCGATTCGTCAGGAAATCACGATCGATCCATTCATTCCAGCAGATTCGTAGAGGAAAAAGAAAGAATATGCACGAGACCATCAGAATAGCAGAAAAAATATATTGCAACTAATATACATATAATCGATAAAGATCCCACAAACATCCCCCTAAAAAAAGAAAAAAATATATTAATCGTTCGAAATCAACAATTCTGAGGTATCAATACTTCTATCATTGATCGTTTGAGTTGATTTCAACGGGAAGATCATTACGAAACGCGAGGGTAATTCCGTTGTGCGGAAATAATTGCGATCCTGCGAATGTTTCGAGTGTATCATGAGCGAAAGGGAGAGGGAGAGAGAGAGAGAGAGAGAGAGAAAGAGAGAGACGGATCTCCGTTTAAATAATTGATATACATTAGTGTTAAATCCGTTCATGCACATATATGCCGATTGTCGGGCAACAGCACGTAGCACGCACGAAAATAAAAGGATGTAAATAAAAGCGGAAAAGAGCATTTGTAAAACTGTAGTTTAGTCTGATAATGAATATAACGTCCTCGAGATGCGATTGGCGAGTTTATTGAAATCGATGTGTTTTTACGATTGTTATTTTCGTTCCACACGCAAAAATAGTCAAACGATGATTCGACAGTGATCTAATATGTTTTGTAACAAATCATGAGCCTTACTGATAAAACTACTTTCTCTTGCTGTCAGCTAAAAAATGTCAAGGGCGATGCAGCATTGTACGATTTTATTGCCGTCAGTTAGTCAGTCAAAATGTCAGTTTAATAGGCAAAAAAGTTTTAAAAAAGAGTATAATGCATGTGTTTATCAATTCTTGATTTGCTATTTATAATGTTTCGATCTTCCCATGAGATCTTCTTTATAAAAATATCGATTATTCCTCAATAACTTGATACCGTCGATCGTTTCCTTTTAATGTTTAAGTACAATATTATCGAGCAACTAATTACATTTTCATTACATTGTAGTCGATTATTGTATCGATTATGTTGTTATCTGTGAAAAAAAGATTCTTGCACTGAGATTAAATTTCGAAAGAGATTAGTATTTGTCCACTTTTACGGTTTACATTATCGCGTTTTTCACCGTACGATATATGTTTGTACTTTGTTTCTAGCTCATGTGAAATCTTCGAGACGATGCTCGACGAACCTCAAGATTGGGGTCGGTGATGATATTTAAAAAATCCGGATGCATCTTTGCTTATGTTCGTATGACTTGTACTTACGTGCGGAGATTGACGTCGCGAGCATCGTGATCGGAGAAAGATCATATCTCTAGTTCTAGAGAATATACATGCGATAATATAACTTGCGATGATTCCACCTTCAGAAAAAGAGAAAAGAAAAATCGAGGCCGCGGAGGATCGCCTTCGACTTGAAACGAAGATGTATCAACTTGTAATCATTCCATTGCATATTATACATACTATTTAAGGTTTAGTGCGACAGTACATTGTAAATCTATAGAAGTTATTACTATATCGTAATAATTATTATGTAATAAATATTGTTGTTAACATAAACAGTCTTCATGTTGTTACAAATGTACCTATATGAGGAAATTTGTTGAAATAGAATGGTGAATAGAGATTGAGAGAGGGCTAAATGAAACACAAATATGGTCTAGCAATGTTTGTATTGCAAAGATCTGTTCACAAGACAAAAACAATTTTATGTTCCTATGAATAATAGGTTTAAATTAATTATATTACAGACTATAAAAATTAATTATATGTTACATATTACATATTAATAATGATACATTATACAACTATCGTAAAAGATTCGATTAGATTGCACTACTATAGAGTAACTTTATACCGAAGGAGTAAAAGAGGATTTTGGAACTATACGACGTCGAATAAATTAGTCATATGTTTTGTGAAACATATTACTTCAGCGTTATGCAATAACATTATAAATTTTAATAAGAGAGATTCTAAAAAAAATCGTGTCTCTTTCGAAATAAATCTGTTACGCAAAATTATCCTATTTGATGCAATTCAACCCCGTTTTATGGTGTTCAATGACGTGACTCGTGACTTATCGGATTGAATCAGAATATGATCGAGTGATTAAAATGATCCGTTTGAATACATCGAGAAAACCTCGTCTTGTAAACATGTGACTTTAAATAAATAATATGTAAAAAACCTGCGGTAAGAACGGGAGTGAAAGTGTTACGTGTCGAGCACGCGAGACTTTAACTGTACCAGTTAATCGGCCGTCGATCGGATGTCAATGAACGATACGAGACATATGTATATAATTTCTGCTCGTCACAACTATCAATTATAAAAAGAAGCGGAAGAGAAAGAAAATAGACGAGATCTAATGATTAAAATGTACAAAGTCGTAAATGGTATAACGATATAAAAACAAAAGTCTTTTAGCGATGTAATGTACTTATATAGCTTAAAACGACTGATTCATGTAAATACATGTTATTCTATAATTATATTAATCAGTTGTTTCAATAAGCTTAATACTGGCGGGAGGACGATCGCCTCTGACTTGTCCGACGCTGGCTTTTTGCGGGCAGTCCTCGGGCGTACGGTGTGCGTGCGTTTGTTGACAGATAAAAGATGCCGCGTGCTCTGTTAATTTTTCACATACACGCATCAACATTTCTCTCGACTTTGATAAAGTTAAACGTTATACATATTTGATAGATAATCTCAACGCGTGGTATTTTTTTCATTTTAAAATTAAAATTGGTTACATAGATTGATTAAGAATGAGAAGTGCATCACTTAAAACATGTTACGTGCGCAATTTCGTAGGCGGAATAACATTCTATCGTCTATCCCTATCCTAATATTCTTAATTCTATAATATATGGAATTCACTTACGTATGAGGTGTATCCTCCCCCATCAGGATGTACTCTTCTCTCTTGGGGTTGCACCATCCGATCAGGTAAGAGAATAGATTTGCGCAAGGGGCCGCCCAAAATCCCTTCTTTGTCGTGATTGATTCTATGTAGTACGGCGTCACTTTTGTGTGATCGCACGAGAGCGTTTCTACAGAGGAAATTTTCAGTTTACCGGAAAAACCGCGTCGGAAGAAGAAATTTATCAACGCTTATATGTATATACGCGCACGGTATGACATGAAAGCAAAATATCTTTAGCTCTGCAATATCGCATTTTGCCATTGCATCTTGCCCCTGCGACCAATTCTCACTCGTTACTTACGGAGTATAGAAGAAGTGGCGCACCCGGGCTGACTCGAGCCACCGTTTACGTAGAAATCCGCGTGGCCGTTGGGCCCCCATTGCCCCAAAATGCCGGCGCCTGTATGAATCACATCCACAAAATGGGCATCTGTCTCGTCTAAATCCATTGAGCGGTTGCCGTTCATGTAGAAAAATATCGTCGGATCGAGGCCTGTGTGCGCGAACAGAGGAACGCAAATTATTCGCGATTAATGTCCGATTCTATGATGAATTATTAACCCTCAAGACGTAACATCGTAAAAGGTATTCAATACCTTGCTAGGAGATAAATAATTTCGAATCTTGTAATTTAATAAGTATGTTCTTCTTTTTGATTTTGTCTTAATGTCACACTCTTTGCATTGTTTTAGAAATAAAACAACACAAAAACATTTGTTGAGTAAACGATATAATATATAAAAAAATTATTATATAATAGATAATAGTCTATAACTATAACGATAAAAAGCTTGTGTTACGTCTGGACGGTTAACGTGCGAGACGGTGATCGGCTGCATACGAGCAATTACCCGTAATTCTCCCGAGTTTGTCATTGGGCAAGTAATTTGCGATGAGTCCACCAATATGCGCACCTACGCTGTATCCGAGCACGTGGATGTTCTCCACCCTCGTGCCTCGTGGATGATCTCTCAAGTAATTCACCAGCTGAGCGATGCATTTGGAGCAAAAGTCCGGGCCCCATGAGATCTGCGAGAGACAGGGCTCGCGTACCAACGAACCGTAATCCACGATTATAATATTGTACGCGCCTCGCGTGAAATACGCTGAAATTGAACGTGGTTAAGCCAAATATGGCTAGTTTGGCTGAACGAGAATGAGACCGTATTCTCTAGTGCGATCTCTTTAACGTCTCTAATTTTATATCTATAATATGTAATTAAGCCTATCGATCTCTGCCTTTTAACTTGTATCCAACTTGTATCAATTTATTTATTCTCAATTTTAATAATCTATGCAAATTTATATTTTTATAAAAGTAAAATTTAGATTTTTAATTTTGATTTATTTTTTGGAAGCTAAAATGTTTGAACTTTAATGTTCGATAAAATTATCTTTTTGATAGATATCATTAATAAATAAAATTAATTTTTTGTTATATAACACATACACACTCACGAATTTAAGATGTAGCATACAATTCAAATATACAAAAATGTAGGAGACCGTTAATCTTACCATTTCGTAAATCTGTACTAGGTGCTAAGTTTCGTCCACCGCCAAAGCCGTGAATGATAATCTTGGTCGGATGCGTTTTGTTAAACTTGGATTTCCAAAGAGAATTAAAGTCACGGACATCTAATAGCAAAGGATTTTTTTGTGTTTCTCTGAAAATTACGATAGACAGGAAATATATACTTTGAGAGTGACTTTTTTCGTCTTACGTCCTTTACGCTACGCAAATATAGTATAGATGATAGTGAGAGCATTCGAGACGATACTATAGATGCCGGAGAAAGGTAAGCCTCGAAAGGAGGTCGCTTTCAGTACAAGATAAAATGATCGTGATCTTGAAATTGAAAGTTGCACCGTTGAGATTGCTTCCTTTTAACAATCCGCTTTTCGGAATGCAAACGCTTGACGCGAAACGTTAGTTGATGCAAAATAATTGACGTTATTATTAAAATAATGTTGCGAAATCGATAGAGCGCGGACATACCTAGTGTACAGATAAAACTCTATCTGCGGATGCGGACAAGTGTAAGGCGGCTTGGCGCAGGATGTGCTGTTAAAAAGGTCCCTGAGAGTTTTGTTTTGAGCCGTCGCATAGTCTGAAAATGTAAACGATTCGTTTGCTTTACTTCTCTCTTTCTTACGTTAACCCCGTTAACCGTTAGTTAGTCGTTCAGCCGTGTAACGATTACGTGTCTCGTGGTGCACTACAAAGTACAAGTTATTGGACCGTTATGCGAAATTGGGTGAAGGTCGATGTTTCTTGTTAGTTTATCGCCGATGCTATAAATAAATTATTATGTTGGAGATGCAAGGTGACGTGTATAATAGGTATCGCTCGCGCTTTTCTTCATCCTTGGTTAGCAACCTTTGTTTTTACATGCTAACTCATCGAGTCGAGTAACATCAATGTCAGTGTGCCAACGTAATTATTTATGAGATAAAAATTACACGCCTCAGATTCGTATCGCATGTAATTATGACGGAACAAAATATAATTGATATACACGATAACACCTTGTGGCAAGATAATTCAACGAGGAACTCTGCTCGGTTTGTAGATTGTAATCGCATTAGTGAGTAAAGTAGTTCAATAAAAGTAAAAATTACTGCGTGAATGAAAGTTAGATTATAAAAGCGGAACTCTCCGATATTACTTTTTTTAATTTTTTTTAACAACTTATGAGCAAGACGTCTCTTTTACAAGAGAAAGTGTCAAGATAATATCTTCCAGATATATGTATTGTGTATATCAGGCATTGAAAAACTAATAAATATTAAATTAAAATTAAT